TTTGTAACTTTGATGTCGGATACAATTTGGAGATTGTTTGTTTCCTCATTGGGAGAAAGAATTGGTCGGCAACAGAATTAGAGAATTTTCTACTAACGTAGGTCATGACAGCGATGACGTCATAGCAAAAGACAAGGCCCAGTATACTATCTACATGCGTGGGTTTCTGGACGTATTGCTTCCAGCCATAGATATCCATGACAGCAAGTATTTCACCGGAGCGTTGTGAGCCGTAACTTGCCTCCCAGTTAACCTCAGGTAAGTCAAAGTCACCCTTACTCAGTTTGAAGTCAACAGTGGCAGATCCAGTGTGGGCAAATGATTTAGCCATCAGTTCATCATTTGCTTTTGTTGGACATGGAGCTCTATACGCATAGCCTATGAGGATTTTGTTGCTAGCACCGTTTATAATGACCCAGTGTGAGCCGGGTAGATCATCCAAGATATCATCTTCAATCTTGTTTGAGGCAGCAAGGCTACACACATAGATCGAATAGCCTCCACCATGCTTGTGATCACGATTAGTGCGACATAGAGTATAACCATCTATACACAGGTTCATGTCCAGGATTGAGTCAGTATATCATGATTCAGTAACCCGTAGTGCTGTGGGTTTGGTTGGCAAAACTATTGTTCTTAGGCCTGATATTTTCTTAAGTAACGAAGGGGTATCAATAAGTACAAGCGTAAAAAGGCCCCCATGGTTTCCAAAGTAACTTACTATGTCTCATGAGCCTCGGTGAGCAAGAGAATTTCTGGTATTTAGTTCGCTAGATGACGCACTATCTATGTCTTGGACGTGATGGGACCCAACAGCGGGGTGCACCAGTGTGACTGGTGAGTTGCTGTCTCTCACAAGCATGTGATTACCCAGTTTTTCACGGCACTCGCAGGTTGTTGACGTGCACCTCTTCTATACTGTTGGCGTAAGGTGGGGTTTGTGACGGGTGTAAGTGGAGGAAATTGGAAACCGGCCCTGTGTTCTCGGGGTCAAACGATCCTAAACACTATGGGTAGTACATATTGTGCTTGATCAGGAAAATTCGGTGAGGTTCATAACTAGGGAAGTTGCTGGCGGAGGGCATACACCTGTTCCCAAGGTGCTGACTAGGATTATTATAATGCACAGTTATAGTAATAATAATAATAACTTATATTCCACACAACACAGGTTGCACGGATGCAAAGCAGTTTACGGGTTTGTTCATTTTGGTAAGGAGAAATGACTATTATGTACATTGTTAAGCTATACATCAGAAACTGTAATTCATGACATATAAGCGGTGTGTTGAAGCAGGCTCAGCTCACTATACAAACAGGACGTAGCCATGTACCTTTAGTTAGTTCAAAGCCTTTCTAGACTGGATGCTGCGTTCTGACCGGAATAATCCTATCTTGTTCGTCACAGTTAGAAGTGAGAAATATGGGAGTACAGTGAATTGAGATTTCAAGATTCACTTGATCAAACCAAGAGTCTGTGTTTGTCGCAACACGAAGCAATCCATCACCACGTAAATTTTTCTGATTTCAGCAATATCGGTAGTAGTATGACACAGTGGCTGTTTTCGCCTTTAGGAGTCCTTCCCTCATTCACTTTTTTTCTTGTATGTTGACTTAGCTGTTCAAGTGAGACAAAGTGAGAAAACTTGAAATTAGATTCCGACAAACCACTGGGTAGATTTAAAAATACGGATTCAAAGATCAGAAGGTATAATTTTGCATTTACTAGTGTAGCCTGGCTTGAACAGCAGGATATAACTGCAAGCGTTGGACTTTCGAAGGCAGAGTAGAAAACCCACAAATTTCATTCCTGGCGCTGTTATTCGGGTGCTCTGCTCAGGGTTTGATTTCCCAGTGATTGTCAAATACAGTTTCACCATACTTATCCGAAAATAGTTGAAGGCGACTCCACTTATAGGACAAACAGAGCAGAGTAATGTTTCCATTCTTGCTTAGCAGTTTGGACATCGATCACTTGAAGCCGTCATCACCATTGGTTTCCACCGTATGTACTTGGAACCAGATAGAGTATGTAAAGGATGTCTAGTAAATCCCTTGACTGCTTCAAAGTGATCGTGACAGGTAAAACGAAGAGACAGATGTTCGTCGTGGATCGCACACAGGCCGGAATTTCAGCAGTTAAACTGACAAACGAAAGCAAACATCATTCTTTGTGCATTTCACTTGTGAGGTGGACTTTGAGGGACCGGTGAAAATGAAAAAATACATAAATCGATGATTAAAAATGAGCTTGTTTAGTTCAGTCAGAAATGAACACACTGGGAGATGACACCTTTCTTCATGCAATTTTCCAGGTTTTGTCAGTACTTTATAACCCCCTCGGGGTTGGGCAGGAAAGTGGCTGGAAAACCCCACCGCAGCCAGATAAGCCGAGAACATCGGTGATGGCGACTTTAGTCATTCCCTTACTCACCCTTGCAAACACTATAAACAACCGTGCAGAAAAATATGCCCCAAGGCCTAATGCACTGCTTAAGGATATGTTGAGGGTGTGCAAACTAGGCTTGTTCCGAAAAAATTAGAAAAGGTTCGAGGCGGAGTGAAGTGATGCAGAAGTGACCACCCTAAGTTCTTGGTTCTTTCTGTTGGCTCCATTCACACATTTTGCAGCTTTAGGAGCCGTGCTAAGCTTTAGAAGAAGAATAGCCCATTACATCACTTGTGAGGCATCTAACTCTGCTTTCCTGTTGGACGATAACCGGAGTCAAACTGGATCTTCATTCATGTGAGTGTACCCTCGCAGTGTTCACAGTACATCATTGCTCATGTCGATGTTTGTCTCCATTACGGCTGAAAAGGTCTACTCTTATGAATATATTGTAATGTACAGCCGCCTCTCTTTAAATAATAGACAATCTTGTTCTTAAAGGCCCAAGCGTTTCATTTGTTCACAGGTTTCTGACATATCATATGGGTCTTCAGTGACTTCTTTTACAAATCCAAGTAACCACCACCTTCTTAGCATGCGTGATGTTATTAAACTGCTGGCAAGCCGTTGAAAACGTGTAGGCATATTCGTAGCTGAGGCCACATCCAGGGCTAGTGAGCTCAGCATAAGTCCTTGGGATGTGAAGTATGCGGTCCACTTCCTCGACGTTTTCTTATCCAGTGCAGGCTCACATTTCAGCCAAATTCCTACTCCGGTGTGCATTCGAAGACTGAGGTCTCTAAAATCTTTCTGCTGAAAATGTGACTACGTGAAGAATAGCTTTAAGAAATATTTTAAGCATTGCCTTGAGACACCCTTACCAAAATTAGAGTTCTTATTTCAACTAATAGCGCAAATTGAGGGTTTCGGTGCCTAATATTAAAATGCTAGCAAAGCCGTAGAAAGCACAGCAGAAATAGTAAATTCCAAGAGAATGAGCTGTTGTTGGTACTCTTTTGAGTACGAACAGGTTTTTTTGCGAAACTTATTGTTGGACATGTATAGAGCAGTATGTACCATGCACATTGTGATATCCAAAAGTCATTTAGCAGTTGTGATCGACTTGTAGTTAAATCCTTCCATGGGCGAAAATTAGAGCCCGTAGAAGAATGTAACTGGTTAGATGAAGTTGCTGCAGGCGTATGAACCCCTCTCAATCACTAATCGCACTGATTGAATAGATGACAGCAGTACAGAAAACCATGGATGGGTATAATGATAGCATGGTTTAACGGGGTGAATCAGCATCCCCTGCATTCCTAAAAGAGGCCTGAAGTTCCCTCGCACAGCCAGTCATGGTATACCGGCCGTTCGCGGGAATCACGTGATTATACGTGTGAGATTCTGATTGGCCGAGTGCCTTTCTAGAAAGGTGTGGAAAATATCAAAGCACCTGTAAGCGTGTGTAAACCGTCATATTTCATGCATGCTTCGAGGAGCCTAGTGACCAGCAGTAGTGAAGCCTGAGTTCACAGTTAATGTGCCAGCATACATTTATGCGTGCTCATGCATCAATGTATCGGAAATATTCACCTAGTTATAGCCTGTCGCTTCCTTTCAGATAGGAACCATAGGTGAGCGAAATTACTGTGGTTTGTGTGGAGTATCTTTGAAAACGACTTCATGAACGTGAGAAAATCATGAGGAAGAAACGGTTAACAATCGAGATGCGAGGAGATCGTCTTTGGGATGTGGTTGAGTGCTCTATCAGCATACATTTGCTGTCTTTCTGTCTGCCAGTACTACTTTATGAGTGAAGGGAGTTTATGGCCACTCCTGTGCATAGAAGAGAGTTTTTCTCATCAGCTACTCCCACCTGAGCCTCATAAGGACTACAAAGGAAATTCAAAAACGTGGGGTACATCAAGCCATTTGATACTGATCTTAACCCTGATTAACGAGGTTATGGGAAATGTGTTTCCTGCTTTCACTCGGTCGGAAACCTTACAGAACAGACTGGGGGGGGACTCAGAGCTGAATGAGGATCCATACCGCCTGGCATTTACTTGTCAACTAATTTACCGGACCTGAATCTAGAAAATGTGATATCCGCATTACTGAGTTAGTCACTCCAAATGCACCTGAAGAACATGGATATTTGAGGGGAGAGGAAGCGGCAAAACTGGTCTTTTCATGGAAAGTGGAGTGAAACGCAAAATGGGTAAGGCGAATGGGAGATAAAACATTTAGTAAACCTTACTGGTTCCCATAGTGTGTGAAAGAATAACTCAGAAGACATTTTAAAGCATAGAAATTTTGCTAGCAAAGTGATGAGACGCTTTGAGAGCTAATCAGAGTGATACTATCCGTACTAAATGAAAAAGGGAAGAAGCAGCACGTTTCTCAGATGAAAATCCTAGTTGTCCAAATCTAAGAATGAAAATAGTTCTGTTCATACCGGTATTCTTTTACTATGCTGGATACCCAGTAAGTCTCACAACAAATATACATGAGTAGAATTAACCTTAAAGCTATTCTGAAACGCTAGTAGCTTTTGTAACTCAAAACTGTTTGTTCGATTTAAAGGGTAAGCAGATACATCATTGGCGCCATGTGGATGAGGCGGGCTGTGTTCGTGTTAACCTTGTTGGCAAGTATTTTGGCCGATGAGCACAATCATGTTGTAAGTTCGGGTTTCTTGATGATAAGGAATGTCATTTAATGTTTGATCGACCAGCACGAATCGTATTATCTTACTGTCACAACGACTGTATATATGTCTGGTGAAACTTGGTAGAATTAAGTAGCAATATATCTATATATAGTAGTATTGCTATGAAATCTGTTATCAGTAGAGCTATATGACTTTATAGCGAATGCTCTGATATCAAGCATCAACAAAGTAAAGTAGGAAATGGCCGCAAACTAATGCTCATTAATTTAGAGAGTAAGCAGTTCGGTCACCGGTTGGTATTATAATTCCATTCATAATGAACTCACTTGACATGCCACACAGTGATACGTTGTTGTTTTCTGGGTAGTGTATTGATTACAATCTGGTCGTGGCCTTAAGACGATCTGGCCACTGGCAGTGTGTATTACTTATCCATTTAGTAATACTATACTACTTTGTGCTGTATGAAATAAACTTATGGAATTGAAATCTATCACAAGATCTTATCGTCGTCCTTACGTTGATTTTGCTCTGGTGACAACTTGGATACTATTTTTGTACGTAGTTAGGCTTACGTGGAGATGCTTTGTCAGTAAATTTGGCTTAATAATCTGGAGGAAGGGCCTGACTGATAGCTGCTACCTTAACGTGGTGGTCGGGCTTGCATGTCGCTGACCAAACGAGCTGCCTTGGTTTTAGCCCTTGTCCCTCTGAGGTTCTACCATACCAGGAAGGTCTGTTGGATAGTGGTAAGACGATAAAGTTACCGTTGTTATGAATTGCTACACTATAATGGGGGTCCGTGGGCGAAGTCATACCGCTAGCGGGGTGGAGTGTAACAGCAGTAGGGTGTTTCTTTCTGGTGACCAGGATTGCCACACCGATGCTACCTTTCCTATGGGAGGGGGGAAAAGAAACAGTCGACTCCCAAAATAGCATACCTCCCTAATCCATGGTCTTTGGGTGCTAGCGTTATGGGTTTTCTATATCCACCGTTAAATTTTGAAATCTTGTACAATCCTGAGAAAGCTGTGTGTGATAGGCCTGAAACAGATGTCTCATGGGCTATAGGATCACAAATCTACTCTTTCAGGTGCCGTTAAAAGAAATAGCCTTCCATGGTATGTAGAGCTGGAAAGCGTCAATTGCCCGCATTGTTTCAGTGATATGTACGACCAAATGAAACACTCAAGCCCCTCTTTTCCCTTGCCTTCACCTACTGATACTAATATTAAGCCTCTTACGAAATTCCTCTCCCAAAGACCAAAGCCGTCGAAACCTCATTCCTAGTCTCCTAAAACCCTGCCATCCATTTCATGCAATAGCTTTCAATGTCCAACCTCTGTCAAATTGGACAGCAAGTATCGCTCACCAAAACTGATCTCTAGTCATGGATAAGTGGTCTCTCCGCGACACGTATGCAGTTGTAGGGTTAAGAGTGCATTTCTCCCTTGGATACCAGTCAACAGCTGCGAGTGGGTTGTTCAACTTAATGGAGCTGTAAAAACTGAAAAGGATCGTGAGACTAACTGATGCCTTTCCATAACCTTCGCCTACACATCCACCAGCTGCAGATCGGATGAATTCCATGAGCTGCCAGTTTTGCTACAGAGAGCAAAACGTTCAGATATAGTCATAATGGCAGGTGACTAACGCTGGAGTAGAGAAGCCAGTCGTAGAGGCATCTTTGAGGTATCTACAAAATTCCATGCCAACGAACCGACAACGGTGGTCCTCTGTTGCAGTTTTATTTTATCGGTCACTTGTTTCTGGCCAGCATTAACTTTAGGCATAAGGAGAAACTGACTTGGCATCTGCCGACATCAAACCAACGATGGATACAGATGAAGCATATGATATAAACCATGGTTGAGGAGGATCGGTGGAATACTTGTTTGGACTCCGGTCTCTCGTTATTATGGGCTTGTGTACATCTACGCCTTAATGATTACAGAAAACGGGCGGCAGTGGGGTCTGTGCATGGCCGACTGGAATTTGAGAACGTCAAGTACGCGCTTATGGAGGAGGTGGCGGAGCTTTTATCTAAGCGTGGCCATGTTCATCCTGAATAAACTTAATGTAATGTTCAGTCTGCTGTAGAAATGGTGATAAAGACAGTTGTTAACCTACATCCTAACATTGGCGGACATCACCGGATTTCCGCAGTCATTCAGACTGATTTGTTTGAAAAGACTGATTCCAGCAGGCTGTGACCACAGTGACGGGCGAAAGCAATTTAAACGTAAATTGATCAAGGGTCTTCTCAGTGATTGCTATCAGTGATGGATGGTTAAAGCGAGAGAGGTGGAGAAGACATCGGCGTCAGGTAACATCCGGCAACTACTAAGGCTCGTTAAAAATACTTGTAAGAAGAAAACGATGGTTAATGAAACCATCATCAAGAAGAATGGGGTGCTGATAACCTCTCAGGACACACAACTAGAACGTTGTCCCCAACAGCTTGAAGGACAACTGAACTGGCAGACAGCAACGCTTTAGTTATCAAACATCCAGTCCGGACCTAAATGTGACTTAGGTACCAGTCGTTCAACTCGTCGAAGCTTAGAAAGGTGTTTCTAACCGGAAACGACGTAAAGTCGCAAAACGATAATTTACCACCCAAATGTTTTAACGATGAAGGTAGAAATTCGCTGATTAGAGTAACGCAGGTAGTAAGCAGTGTATGGGAGTCAGGGGTAGTGCCATCAGACTAATTTACTCGACTGATTATTCTAGTTTATTAGAAATGAGGGAAGTCTTTTTGTGACAACCATAGGGGAATCAGTTTAACTAGTATCGTTTCCAAGAATTTGGCGTCCATAGCTATCCGACTCCTAACTGCAGCCAGAGAACAAACTCGAGAAAATCAGACAGGTATCAGACGGGGTCTAGGGTGTGCTGATTTAATCTTCACCCTCCGACAGGTTTTGGAACACCGGCACTTTTACTGACAGCCAACACTTGGTATATTTCTTGACCTGGAAACGGCATTTGACTATATCGACCGTAATGTGTAAACAGAGTGCACAGTGCACTTCACTTACTTGAAGAGTTGCATCAGCTCGAACGCGCTGATTGCTGACGAATTCTCAGTTCAGATACAGAAGTCCTGTTTAACATTCCCTAATTTACATCATCTTTGGGGCCAACTCACCAGACATCCGACAATCTGTTGAGGGACAGTTATACTGTTCTCCAGTTCGTTCTGACCTGTTATATGGCTGAAACAACCGTTAAAAGTAGTCGTAAAGAAACTGTAGGTTTTTGATGATGTCTTCGTAGCATTACTTGCGTTTGGTGGAATCACCATGTGCGGAATGTCGACGTTAGACTAAGGGCATAAGGCAAGGCACAGAAATCGGTCGATGGGATTCTGAACCTTCGGCGACGATGTGGCTGAGAGATGTGCTGCCCATGCTGAGCCATCGTCTACCTTGACGTGCAATACTGGGGGATGTTGGATTAGGTTGGAGGAGGGTTGGTGGTGGCCAGGCTGACGCGGTGCCATTCCATGAAAGTCCCGGACTGTTGGTTTGGTCCGTGTAAGGGAGTCCAGACTACCTGGTTAAATTTTATGAGGGAACAGAAACCAGGGGTTGAGGACTGTCGGTGACATGACGTCGATCACTCTAAAAACTGAGTGTTTTGACTAACTTTCATTACAAAAATTTTTCTTCCGCCATACACCTTTATCTATATTGATATCAGTATTTCTTATCTACTTGTCCTTGATGGGCTATAGCTCATTACTTTACGTAAATGACTTTCAACTAATGGATCACAGGTTCAAATCCCCTTCCACTTACCGAGCTTTGGACAACCAGGTGGTGGCATCATCAGCCTTCACGGAATGCGTGGCTCATTTTCAACTGCACGAATGGCCACATTCGGAATCTCAGCCGAATAAACATAATGGCAATCACTTGCTGCATCCATACTCAGACAATCACTTATTTCTAGTCAGCACAAACATCAGACATGAAGAGAGATTGTCTGATGTGGCGTCCACCGAGTTCAACTCTGCGGTGACCACAGACCGCACTACTAACGGTCATCTCTGGAGAGGGTCCGTGGAAGATGGCGGCCCATTCTAGAGCACGTATTTGGACAGCGATCACGCGTTGGTTTGAGTGTGTGTATGTCTGCGTCTCAATCATCATCACCATCAATAGACGTAAGAAAACTCGCAACAATACCACTTCCAGTGAAGTTCAGCAATGAGAGAGATAGAGAGACTTTTTTCTATGAGAAACTGGTTAGATAGCTACTGGAACAGAACTACTACACTCACTCCAAAGAAGCTTGATACCGTCTCCAGTTTGCTGTAAAAAAAGCGTTGAAGACCGTACTTGACTCGCAGAGAGGTTGAAAAGAGCCAGTGGATCTCAGCAGCTTCTAAATTATTGGGTGCACACGAACACACCATTGCAGGCTCCGAGCACAATGAGGAGCGAATACAACGTAAGCTGACAAAAAGTCTACGCAATGACCACAAACTTTGGTGGTCAGCGTAAGCTAAAAAGATGAAAAAGGCAGCTGCGGCAGGCATCCAAAGACAGTCACTTAGGCTTATCAAGAAAACGAGCAAAAAGCTCAATGATTAGTGGGACTATGAGGAAGAAGGAAAGGACTGCTATTCACTTGCAACAAAGACGACTGGAATAATTGGCGAAACAACGAGGAACAGCTCAACTAAAATCCTGATATTATTTCTTCGACTAATATCTAGTCAGAAGCAGATTGGAACATTGAGATAGGACTCCACACACTTGCGAAAGTCGAGAAAGCTGTAAGTAGCCTGAAACGAAGAAGAGCAGCCATGCCAGACAAACTAGTTCCAAAGGTATTGATGGACGATGGTCAAGATTATTAGTCAGGTTAACTGTAGTAGCAACTGGTGTGTAGAAGTCAGATACAGTACCGTCTCCCTAGTCTCAATCACTGCTTTTCTTAATCATCAAAAAGGGTGAAGTGTCCTCATGTGGGAACCACAGGAGTTAACCTGATGAAAAGTGTTAAAGATTCTAGCCTGTATAATAATTAGACCTCTGAGGAAAGATGAATAACAGCAAATCAGAGGAAACCAGGCAGGATTAAGGTCTCGCCGTGGATTTATTGACTAGATATTCACCCACCGTCAGGTTTTGGAACACTGGCGCACTTGCTGACACCCGACACTAGCTCCATTTGCAGATCTGAAGCTGACATTTGACCCCATGAACCGAGAGACCTTGTGACAGTGTCTCTAACTGAAAGGAGTCCCAAGTAAGTTCATCACTTTTAAAGACTCTTCACTCGAACACCCGTAGGCGTGTTAGAGCTTATGGTGAGTTGTCAGGTGAGCTGTATAAATCGAGCGGTGTCTGTCAAGGATGTCCACTCTCTCCATCTCTGTCCAATTTCGTCATGGGCGTCCTTATGGAGGTCTTCCTCTCGTCTTCTGAGTTTACGGAGATTGATGTAATCACTGGAGACTCCTTAGTAGGTTTGAAGTACGCAGATGACGTAGTCCTGTCAGGTGAAGACGCCGACACAATGCAGAGTCTTCTGGACGCAGTGATTAGCAATTTGAGGATGCTTAGTATGCGCTTCTGACCACCTAAATTCAAGTTGTTGCTACAGGACTGGTCTTCAATGTTTTCCTGTTTAAAAATAGGAAGTGAAGTGGTTGGTGTGCTGACCGCTTTGCTTAAGTGGGAAGTTGGATTAGTCCTGATGGGTCAGTGGCCGACAGAATGTCTGTGCAGGTACGAAATACTTGATTGGATTTCGCCAACTTACACTAACTGAGACGCTGCTGCGATATCCGATTGCCTATTAAGGGTTGAGTGTACTGTGCTGCAGTTCGCCCGTTCTACTTACTTGAGTGTGAAACATCTCAAATCAACGGTCAAGGGTTTGATGGAGAGAAACAACGTTTTGGTTTTGCTGCCTTTTACCTATTTCGACCTTAATATACATCAACTGAAATGATGCGTAGCTTTAGATGTCCATTAGGCTTGTGTGGCACATGCCCTGGCTACATCAGTCAATAAAGATTCACGAATTCATCCACTGTTTCACATTTTCTAGCTGAAAATTCTCCTGACCTCAATCACTAAGGTGGTGGTGCCACGGCACGCGACCAATATTGCCAGTTTTCGTACACCTGGAGCCTTATGTCCACGTTTCTCAAATGTGAAGTAGGACAGAGCCAACTCAAGCACAGTACATTGGACCCTTAGTAGGCATTCAGATACCTACCTCACCGACACTGTAACGTAAGTTGTCTATAGCCAGTTGAGCCTTCTGTATCCGTGCAGAGATTTCGTCGGCCACTGACCCGCCAGTCCTGATCCGACTTCCTAAATGAAGTGGTAAGTGCAGTGAGCCACTTCACTTTCTCTTCATCACCAGTTCTAAGGCAACCATCTTCGTTTTGATAGTGAGGAATGTCCCAGACATTCTCAGCTTGTCAACCAAAGTTTCTAGAGGATCCTGCATTTTCTTTGGTATCTTTCCCCTACACGACTGTCATCTCCGCACTCTAAGTTTACTAGGAAGTCGTTTGCGAGAAACACCGAATGACGAGAAAGTCAGTCCATAATAAAGTTAAGTGAAAATGATGAGGGCAGACATTTTTGACAAGCACCACTTGATGCAGACAACCGAACTGATAGCTCACCATAGGCTCAAACACGCCCTCTGGGTTTCACTTGCACAACCTTTTGCCGAGTCGGAGGAAAATTGTGATGATGGGAAAATCCATCCCCGTCCACAATACATTTTATTATAATCTTATTTGTAAGCGCAAAAATGAGTACGAATGTTAAGAAATCGGAAATATATAATCACATGTTTCCTCATGTTTCGTTGCTAAACTTTTTATCTGATGGAATTATAAAAGGATTAACTTCTGCGATGTAATCATCTAGGTGAGTTGCAGTGGAATCCAGGACGTGCGTTTCATCCCATTTGGGACTCATCAGCTGGATGTACCTGCACTCCATGAGTGATGTTCCCGCCTAGACTCAAACCCCAGTACTCGTCGCCTTATACGCCAGAGCGTTATCCACTGGGGTGCGAGAGCCACCTCATGTGCGACGGGTATCATTTATTGTTTGATACTTGCAATTTCCCGTTGCTACACAGGTCGAGTAATTCGACCCTGTAAAGCAACAGGAAATTACAAGTACCAAAGAACGACTCCTGTGACGTAGGCAGACAGATAGACCAAATCGACGTAGAACTTTGCACAGAAGTAAGTACATTGGTTCAATTCGCTACACTTCACAATGGCCTGCAAAGAACAAGTCGTTAGAGAAAGAGGGACATCAACGCAGACAAGTGTTGAGACAAGGAACTTGAAAATGAAGGTTAGTGAAAATGTCCAAGCTTCAAAAGACGTCAAATAGTGAATAAATCTGTGCTATTGTGGCTGATTTTGAACTACATCATTAAGTCTCCAACCGTTGATTTCTATCATCTCTAGGAGCTCAGCCTACACCTCTTTATACGGCTCAAATTAACAGTCAAAAACTTCGTGGACTGGTTCCAGTGTCTTGATCTTGCCACGATAAGCTTTCTTCCTGTTTAATCTTGTTTTGACCAACATCGCAAGTCGACATAGGCGATGCCCTAGCATGCCCAACAGGTGTCCAAGCCACCTAAATTGGTAAAATCTCACATTATCATAGAATTACTTATCTTCCGTGACTAGTACTCTACGCTTAGCCCCGACACAGCTCATGATCATTCTACCACATGTGAGCAATGCTACGGAGACACCTATGATCAACGATCCGTAACTTTTTATGTCTACTTCAAAAGGTCATCTCAGTCCAGCAACAAGCCAAACCGGACTGCTACACACTATTCGTCTTTTGATATGTGACTGGAAAATTTGTCGAAACTAAGTAGCGTATATTAACATATTCTGATAATCATATATTCTCTCAACTTTGTCGAAACTACGTCAGTTTGCAAAACAAATATTCAAATGCTGACTTTCCAGCAGTTAAAATACTTTTGATGATAGTGTTTTCAAAGTTAGAGCTTATTTACTAGATGAATGTGAGCAATACATTGTGCTCGTAACATTGTGAAGTAAATAATACTGTATGGCTGTGCTTTGTCAAACAGACTTATCTAATATAGAGTTACACTACTACAGTGCCCAAATTCTATACTTATAATAAGAAGCAGGGGCACTTTTGTACTAGTTTTCACTTCGCTCTCTCTGTCTGTCCATACGGATTGGTATTATGGTTGTGGTTTGCTTTACTGAATAATACAATGTATAGTCTTCACTGCATAAATAAAATTTTGCTTTTAGTATGATGTTGCGGAGGAGGTAGTTTTGTGGATGAATACCATCGGTCCATACCATAATCGCCAAGAAACTTATGGTTACTTTTCCTTACCTTTCTGTCGTGGACCTAAAGCATCAATCGAACATGCTCATGAGACTTTGGGCGAAGCTTTACAGGGAACAGAACTTCAATATAGTGGGATAGATATTCGATTCAAAGGTAGGTATGATTCTTTTCTATAACCATTTTTCAACTAGTGAACAAACCTAAATCAACAATATGCCAAATCGATGTTACACCAGAGGTTTTCCTGGCTCTTAATACGGCTGTCGAGCAACAGTATTGGTATCAGATGTATTTGGATGATTTACCCATTTGGGGTGTTGTGGGCGAAGTAAGCAAGGAAGGCCAGCCTAGTATTTGGACGCATAAAGAATTGGAGATTGGATATAATGAAAACCAAATTGTTTTCGTTAACTTAATCAATGGTGATTTAACTCCACTCAGACCTAATGCACAACTCACATTCTCGTATAAAGTAAGTTATAATGCTTTTCATACTTAAATATACCTTGTCTTCTTACGATAGCCACAGAAGAATTAGCCTACTGAATATAGTGTCTAGAATTCCAGGTTCTGTAATCAACAGACATCTAAGTGGAACCTTGAAACAACGAACACGAGAAAACCAGGCAGGATTAAGATCTCGCCGTGGATTTATTGACTAGATATTCACCCACCGTCAGGTTTTGGAACACTGGCGCACTTGCTGACACCGACACTAGCTCCATTTGTAGATCTGAAGCTGACATTTGACCCCATGAACCGAGAGACCTTGTGACAGTGTCTCTAACTGAAAGGAGTCCCAAGTAAGTTCATCACTTTTAAAGACTCTTCACTCGAACACCCGTAGGCGTGTTAGAGCTTATGGTGAGTTGTCAGGTGAGCTGTATAAATCGAGCGGTGTCTGTCAAGGATGTCCACTCTCTCCATCTCTGTCCAATTTCGTCATGGGCGTCCTTATGGAGGTCTTCCTCTCGTCTTCTGAGTTTACGGAGATTGATGTAATCACTGGAGACTCCTTAGTAGGTTTGAAGTACGCAGATGACGTAGTCCTGTCAGGTGAAGACGCCGACACAATGCAGAGTCTTCTGGACGCAGTGATTAGCAATTTGAGGATGCTTAGTATGCGCTTCTGACCACCTAAATTCAAGTTGTTGCTACAGGACTGGTCTTCAATGTTTTCCTGTTTAAAAATAGGAAGTGAAGTGGTTGGTGTGCTGACCGCTTTGCTTAAGTGGGAAGTTGGATTAGTCCTGATGGGTCAGTGGCCGACAGAATGTCTGTGCAGGTACGAAATACTTGATTGGATTTCGCCAACTTACACTAACTGAGACGCTGCTGCGATATCCGATTGCCTATTAAGGGTTGAGTGTACTGTGCTGCAGTTCGTCGTTCTACTTACTTGAATGTGTAACAGCCAATAAAGATGGAGAACATGAGGGGGCTTAAGGTGTTTAACCACCTTTGGTTTTGTAGAATAATCCATGTGTCGTGGTGTTCTCTTGTCGGTAATGTAGGAGTCAAGTGTAAAGTTTTAGGAAGGAGAGGAAAGTCAGTTGATGAAGTTGTGTACTTTCGTCGACTGAAGTTTTTTGGAATGTGGTGATGGGGCCTAGTCACTGTCTACCTTGTCAGTGTCAACTAATGTACGATCAGGCTAGGAAAAGGCTCATTGGACCATACTTCAATATGGTATCGGTGCACTGGACTGCGCAGCTTTATCATAGTTTGAGATTTTCCGACAGTAATCACATTACTACTTGTTTATATGCTGTATGGAAGTGATCGACCTCTGCTGACATATGAGTTCCTGTGCGGATGCCTCGACATTGCCTGAATATTTATTACAATAATTTACTTGGTTGTAGCTAGCGATAGCATCCGGTATAACAACGGAGGATTATAAGTCTGTCAAAAAAAATAGTAATAACTTATTCCCGTCGTACAAGAGGTGGCTATCGTGCCTCAGTGGCCTAGTGGATAGTGCTTCAGCGTTTGAGTGGATAGGTATGATTAGATTTAACGGTTTTATGGCGCACTTTTAAATTTAAAGTAGGAATTCGACTTGATATTTTGCGTTAACTTCCCTTCTGTCTGGTTTATCAGCACGTTGTGTGATTACAAACGAGTTTCCTCTTCAAAATACTTTATAACCAATCGTAGACTAAGTGTCGCGCTATTAACTTTAAGATGGTATGAATGTATACGGCTTTTATGCCTTCAGTACGACACTGATCAACGGTAACATAACCTTTCAGTATTAACGGTAATTATTGGTTGTGTATTATTTGGTATTGAATGAATGAGCCAGTAAGATGCAACTGTTGTATATAACATTTGTAAGCGCCTGTGTCTTGTCATCATCATCATTATCAACATAGGACCAGGCATTACTGCGTAACGGTCCGAGTTGCCACACCTCATATCAGCACATCAAGTAAAAAGGTAGTGAGGTGAAGGATGAAGATAAGTGAATGCAGTCAAAAGAAATATAAAGTACGAGAAGAAAGGAAAGAGGAGTGACAAAATAGTGAGATTCGGTATAGCGTTGTTAAGATGAGGATAATGTGTGTATACATCTGCGCCACTGACTTCGGTTCTGAGCCATATCACCTAGGGTCTCCAACCACTGGTTCCTCTTGTCCCGTGGACCCCAACCACCTAGTCTGCATCGTCCTACATGGCTTAAACCAACAGTCAGAGACTTCATACATTGGTGCCATGTTTTAGTCTGGCCACCTCGGGCCTTTTTCCAGCCTGAACCCACCTCAGCCAACATTGTGTGACGAGGCAATCGGTGACTAGGCATACGTAGTACGTGTCCCAACCATCTCAGTCGATGAAGGTTCACAACCTCGTCGACTGACTTACCTCTTCTCCCTAAAACTCTACACCTAACTTCTGCATTACTCACATGGTGACACCACGGAATACGTCCTATACTACGAAGGCAACGGTGGTCAAACACCTGAAGCCTTTTTGTGTCTTCCACTTTCAATGGCCATGTTTCACAGCCATACAGTAGAACAGAGCGGACTGCTGTGCAGTACACGCGACCCTTAATAGACAAACGAATATCACGGCGGCGCCATAGGTGGCGCAAATTGGCAAAAGCCAATCGAGCCTTTTGTATCCGTGCAGAAATCTCATCGGCAACTAACCCACCGGGTTGATCCTACTTCCCAGGTAAGTGAAGTGGTCAACACACTCAACCACTTCACTCTCTATTGTTAACCGCGGTACCGCTGAAGACCAGTCCTGGAGCAAAAATTTGCATTTGGGTGGTGAAAATCGCATCCCAAACATTCTCAAATTCCCACTCAAAGTGTTCAGAAGACTCTGCATCTTGTCAGCGTCTTCACCTAACAGGACTATGTCATCTGCATATTCTAGATCTAAGGAAAATTCACCTGTGATTCGGTCAACGTCTTTGTAATTAGGTGACGAGAGGGAAACCTCCATAAGAATATCTATGATAAAATTAAATAAGAATGGGGATAGTGGGCATCCTTGACGGACACCACTTGATGAGTATAGCTCCCTGGACAACTCACCATAGGCTCTAACATGCCCACAAGTGTTCGAGTAGAGAGCTTTCAATAAGGTGATGTACTTACTAGGCACGCCTTTCAGTGACAGACACTGCCATAAGACTTCTCGATCAACGGAGTCAAATGCCGCCTTCAGGTCGAGAAATACAGCTATTGTCGGGCGTCTGTAAGCATGCCTATGTTCCAGGACCTGGCGCAGTGTGAATATTTGGTCGATACATCCACGGCCAGGTCTAAAGCCTGCCTGGTTTTCTCGGGCTTGCTGTTCCCGAGCTCCACTCAGGCGTCGGAGAATTATAGAACTTAGGATCTTAGACACTATGTTTGTCAGGCTGATTCCTCTGTGGTTATCACAAGAGGACTTCTCGCCTTTCTTGAAGACTGGGATGATGAGTGACTTAGACCAGTCGGAGGGGATCGTATTTGATTCCCATATACTGGCTAACACTTCCGTTAGCCTGACTAAGAGAACTCTACCACCATTCTTGTATACCTCAGCAGGTAGTCCGTCTGGTCCTGCTGCCCTTCCCCGTTTCAGGCTACCTACCGCTTTCTCAACTTCTTCTAGTGTTGGGGGACCTGTCTCTATGTCCCATTCAGGGTCCGACTGGATAGCGGGCAGCGCAATGGTGGCTGGAGGCCAGTTAAACTGTTCCTCAAAGTGTTCTGCCCATCGTCCCAGTCGCCTTCCCTGCGAGTGAATCGCCGATCCGTCCTTCTCCGCTATAACCTCACTAACTGTTGTTGACCATTTCCCCCCAGTCTCCTTAATAAGTCTAAATAACTGTCTACTGTTACCGATCGCCGCTGCCTTTTCCATCTCTTTAGCCTTTGCTGCCCACCACTGTTCACGATCGTTGCGCAGACTTTTCGTCAGTTATTTTTAAGTTGCGCTCGCTCTTCATTGTACTCAGAGCCTGCAGGGATGCATTCACGTGCATCCATTAGTTTGGAAGAAGCTGCTGATATCCACTGGCTCTTTTTAGCCATTATCTTGGAGTCGGCTACAGTCTCCAGTGCTGCTTTTACAGTAGACTGAAGATGGCACCAAGCTTCTTCTGGATGAGTGACAGTCTTTTGTTCCGATAACTGCCTAGCCAACTTCTCACTGAACACGGCTTTGGTGTTTTCGTTGTCCAGCAGAACTCGTAGTGGTTTTGTTGCCAAATTTTTTCTACGTCCATTGAGACGCAGGCATATACGTGCTCGGACCAACGCATGATCGCTGTCCAAACACGTACTCCAGAAGGAGCGGCAGTCTTCCACCGATCCTCTCCAGCGATGACTAATAGCAATGTGGTCTATCTGTGTCCATCGCTGAGTCGAGCTCGGTGGACGCCAGGTCAGACAGTGCCTTTCTTTATGTCTGAAATTTGTGCTGGCTAAAAATAGGCGGTTATCTGAGCATAGTTGTAATAGGCGATCACCGTTATCTGTACGTTCAGCTGGGATTCCGAAAGTGCCACCTAAGTGCCTTTCTGCCTCACTCAGTCTACCCACCTGTGCGTTGAGGTCACCTGCAACAACCACTACGTCCGAACGTTTGGCTTTCGAGAGGAGGTTAGACAGTTTATGGTAGAACTCGTCCTTCACTTCATCCGAACTACAGTCAGTGGGTGCGTAAGCAGAGATTACAAAGAGACAACGGCGAGTCTCACTATTCCTTTTAGTTCTCACTGTGCCGTTCAGCCTCATAGCGCAGAGGCGACTATCAACTGGGATCCAGTCTAGTAGTGAGTTTTCTGCCCTGGTGCTTAATGCTATACCTACACCTGCAAGACCACGAGAGCTAGCTATCGAATCTCCAGAAACTCGAAGGGTGAATTTTGCAGATTCACCAGATTGGTCAGGAGAGGTCAGGTGAATAACCACACTTGGGTCCTGTATGCGTGTCTCACAAACACAGCACACATCCATGGCCCGAGTTGCTAGAGTCTTTGCCAACGAAGCCTGTTGGCCAATTTGACGGAGGGTGCGGACATTGAAGGCTCCAATATGTAATTTGGAGCGTGGTTTAAGGAGACCAGGGATGCTGTTCTGTGGACTCAGATCGTTGTCGAAGGCTGCAGAGGTAGGAGAAATTGAAGATGATGCAGCATCATTAATTAAGAGACGTGAAGGAAGATTAGAAGGTAATGATGGAGGAGGAGGATAGCAGTCAGAAGAAACTTGGGTGCTGACAGAGTTGTGAGGGCGGTTGACACTTCCCGGCTGCCCACACCGTGGAAGGCTATTTCTTCTTAAGGTACCTGAAAGAGATTTGTGTGACCGCAGAGCCCATCGGACATCTGCTTGAGGCCTGTCACACCCAGCCTTTTGAGTATGATTATTTTGAACTTTTGTATTTTTGGGGCCGGATGGTCGAAAGGAAACGACAAGTGAACCAACCCGCCTGGCAGACCGTGGGGTATGGTGGAGTGTGTTATTTTTGGGGCCGACCTTTTCTAACCCCCCTTCCACTGAGAAGGCAGCATCAGCATGGCACTGCTGGTCATCCAAGGGAAACACCTTACTGCTGTCACACCCCATCCAGCTAGCAGCAGTACGACTTCGCCCTCAGACCCCCATCATAGTGTAGCAATTTACACTATAGCGGTAACTGCTTTTCGTCTAACCACTATTCAACAGGATCTTTCTGGTATGGTAGGACCTTGAGAAAACAAGCGTTCCACCAGCATAGCTCGTTGGGTCATTGTGATATGCAAGCCCGACCACCACGTCAAGGTAGCAGCTATCGGTCGGTCATCAACATGTTCAACCTCTAAGTCAGAAGTTGGATACTTATTTTGATTGGTCAGCTGTAGGGTAGGATCTGCCAATACAATTTTTTCTGACCACACCGTAACATGAAACAAAGCTTGAAATTCATAACTTCTATCTTAGTGGCTAATGACGTAAAATGTTGAATTCTATTTAGGCTGCTTCTTATAAGTTTAAAAAAGTGCTGAATATTTGTTTACTTCATTAGTATAATCCACCGTTTTCCCTTTATAATATATGTGTAAATAACCAGTGACATCATTGTTCTCCATATTTTAAAAAAATAGGTTAGGTGGGTTTCTTCAGAGATTCCATTCGCTGATCGGTTCAATAAGTATCTGGATTATGAATTCTTCGGACACAAGGTAAGAGGTTAAAAAACTGTTTTTTTCTTCAATGGATTGCTTAAAATCTTACATATTTAAATGATTTTCATTTAAGGTCAGTGGAGTTATATGCACAACAAAAAGGATCAATAAGCTGTTTTAATCTGCTCAGTTTTGTCTATTTTTTTTCGCAGGTCACAGTTAATAGTAGTAAATAACAGAAAGTAAGTGGTCTTAAGCTCTTTTTTCTAGGATCAGCCTATCTCGTTAACCCAATAAGTGATCTGAATTCCTCAACTTTTTAATAATTTATTCTTATACAAATGTAACAAGTTTGAATATTTCTTGTTGATAACTTTTTACCCCACTGAGAGAGTCATATGCCTGTTATATTCTGGGGATGTGGTTGGGAGTATCTGCAATAGAACAGACTTCACTACATCAAAACATTCCCGTACAGAAGATATGGTGATCTGGTGCGTTACCTTTACGTCAGCAATAAGGCTGTGTGCTGAGTTTCGTATTTTACACTGGTAGATCAGCCCAATGCTAGTTATATTTCTGTCCTATTTTTCTTCTATGCGACAAAAAATGTGTCCTTTCCAAACACAAACTCCATTATACTGGCATATGGATTTTATTTCTGCAATGTGTCTCACTGTCTTGAGGATTCATTCGGCTTTCAAACAATTTGCACCATGTTCAAATCTCGCTCTGCCTACTTTGACCTGGGCAACCGGATATTATCGTAGATCTTCACACAAACAAGTGTAGCTCAAAACCTGGTATATAAACGTGTACCAGATTGAGCTGCATTAGAGTTATGGTACATTCATTATTTCAATTTTGTGCTTTGAATAAATCTGGTGCAAGTGAGACAACGATTTGCTGCATGATAGGCCTAAACCATAAATGCTTCGCGCTTAGAGGTCAGTCCTACATGAAATAGTCAGCAACTTTTATAAGGTGAATACTCAGTTATCGCTGATCTCATCCATCCATCCAAATCAGCATAGGACTAGGCATTACTGTGTAACTGTCCGATTTGCCACAGCTCATATCAGTACATCAAGTAAAAGGAAAGTGAAGTTGAAGTCGAAGAAAAGAAAATTTAGTCAAAGGAAATATAAAGTACTCTTTCAGCTGATCTCAAGCCAATCTTCATTACTCCTATAGAAAAACCAAACAGTATAAGAATATTTATCACTCCTACTAATCTTCATTTATTTATTCCTTCTCGTCTCGTATACTTTCCACTTACTTCAATATCATTCTTTTTCGATCCAATTCCTCTTCTTCTGCTGATACAAAGCGTTACACCTTGAATAAGTGCAACTTTCTGCATCATCTATCATCTGTAAGAGCCAGTCATTTGCATATTAGCATTGTATAAAGTATTTCTGGTCATTTTGATATCTCAACTTTATCGATTATCCATTATTTTTCATGCACACATATCACTTGAGTTTTTATCACTTTTAAAAGCACTGACTAGCATCTTTTTAGTTAGTGAATTGTGTTCATCATGATATACAAGAAACACAGACCTGGCCGTGGATGTATCGACCAAATATTCACACTGCGCCAGGTCCTGGAACATAGGCATGCTTACAGACGCCCGACAATAGCTGTATTTCTCGACCTGAAGGCGGCATTTGACTCCGTTGATCGAGAAGTCTTATGGCAGTGTCTGTCACTGAAAGGTGTGCCTAGTAAGTACATCACCTTATTGAAAGCTCTCTACTCGAACACTTGTGGGCATGTTAGAGCCTATGGTGAGTTGTCCAGGGAGCTATACTCATCAAGTGGTGTCCGTCAAGGATGCCCACTATCCCCATTCTTATTTAATTTTATCATAGATATTCTTATGGAGGTTTCCCTCTCGTCACCTAATTACAAAGACGTTGACCGGACCACAGGTGACTTTTCCTTAGATCTAGAATATGCAGATGACATAGTCCTATTAGGTGAAGACGCTGACAAGATGCAGAGTCTTCTGAACACTTTGAGTGGGAATTTGAAAATGTTTGGGATGCGATTTTCACCACCCAAATGCAAATTTTTGCTCCAGGACTGGTCTTCAGCGGTACCGCGGTTAACAATAGAGAGTGAAGTGGTTGAGTGTGTTGACCACTTCACTTACCTGGGAAGTAGGATCAACCCTGGTGGGTTAGTTGCCGATGAGATTTCTGCACGGATACAAAAGGCTCGATTGGCTTTTGCCAATTTGCGCCACCTATGGCGCCGCCGTGATATTCGTTTGTCTATTAAGGGTCGCGTGTACTGCACAGCAGTCCGCTCTGTTCTACTGTATGGCTGTGAAACATGGCCATTGAAAGTGGAAGACATGAGAAGGTTACAGGTATTTGACCACCGTTGCCTTCGTAGTATAGGACGTATTCCGTGGTGTCACCATGTGAGTAATGCAGAAGTTAGGTGTAGAGTTTTAGGGAGAAGAGGTAAGTCAGTCGACGAGGTTGTGAACCTTCATCGACTGAGATGGTTGGGACACGTACTACGTATGCCTAGTCACCGATTGCCTCGTCACACAATGTTGGCTGAGGTGGGTTCAGGCTGGAAAAAGGCCCGAGGTGGCCAGACTAAAACATGGCACCAATGTATGAAGTCTCTGACTGTTGGTTTAAGCCATGTAGGACGATGCAGACTAGGTGGTTGGGGTCCACGGGACAAGAGGAACCTGTGGTTGGAGACCCTAGGTGATATGGCTCAGAACCGAAGTCAGTGGCGCAGATGTATACACACATGATCGTCATCTTAACTACACTATACCGAATCTCACTATTTTGTCACTCCTCTTTCCTTTCTTCTCATACTTTATATTTCTTTTGACTGCATTCACTTATCTTCATCCTTCACCTCACTACCTTTTTACTTGATGTGCTGATATGAGGTGTGGCAACTCGGACCGTTACGCAGTAATGCCTGGTCCTATGTTGATAATGATGATGATGATGATGACAAGAAACACTGAAATAAGTTACGTATTTTTGAGATGAATGGGGATTTTTAATTTAGAAATAGTATTCATCATGGACTGACATCAGTTGGGGAACCACTGAAAATCTGGGAGCACTGGACAGCCGTTTCGTCCTAGTATGGGACTCAGCACTACGCACCCACGACCTTGCTAGGGGTCGAACTCAGGACCTTCGGGTTAACGGCGAACGCGTTAACCATTCAGCCACTGGGTCGGTTTCCAGTGGTTCACAATTTCCAACTTCTGTCAATTCATGACATAGCGCGACTGTCACCCAAGGTCTTCAGTTAGTATCCACTTCACTTCCGACTGGTTGATCCCACTGAAATAAGTTCTGTCAACTTATTCCACTGCAGGTGTCAGTGGCTAAAGCTGCAGTGGTGTACATTGTCAATGTCTCCTGTTTAAGTATTTTTAGGCTCATCCTCAAGATTTCAAATAGCGTTTCAAGTACTTACTGGTAGTCAGTTTGTTTCTGATATTTTACTATTTGGAGGAAGAATTCATGCATTTCCTATTAGATGACAGAATTACTAATGACTATTTGTAAGATAGAGTTGGGTAAAAAGCTAGTGAAACCTAGTTATGGCATTCCTTATGGAATAAATGAGTATTAGCCTTTATTTCACCTTCACGAATACACCTAAATCAACTTACAACTTATTGACGAAATCAAACTGTTACCTCTGCAAATTAATGCAACACCAGAACAATTGCTTACGAAATATATACCTTCAGCAACAGTATATGTGGGTTTCACCTACAACTTGTCAGCCGTATTTGTGTGCGAAGCAACAAACCTAATCAAGGCAAGAGGAGCTGTGTTCAAACTTATGGCTAGGTTGGATGTTTTACAGAGATTTCCAAAGGTGGTGGATCAGTACTCATCTTGAGTTATAATAAAGTTTAGTGTTCTTGTTGGTGTATAACTCTATTCAACTCACCAAGTCTTAATCATCTATCGTTTCTGTTTTTATAAGAGAACCAAAATCCTTTCTGTTAACTGCAGAATGATTACTGTAATACTGTATCTAAAAATATACATGCCATAATCTAACATCTTGACTCACTTTAAAATAGACAGAGAATCCAGTAAACGTTTACCCCCTAGCCATTTAGAGAGCACAATATACCAAGTCCTTATTTCCCAATTTCGGGGCAACGTTGGCTTTCCGAAGTGTATAACAACGAATATTGTCTCACTGTAGTATCTCCACCCCCTTGGTTATATTATTTCAGCATGAGTGCTGAAGACAGATAGACAAAATCAACCTCTTACATAAGTGCATCGGTTCAAGTTGCTACACTTCACAGTAGCATACAGGGAACAATTAAATAGAGATTGACTGATATCAAAGTAGATAAAGGTGTATGAATGGGTAGACAATTCGAAGATGAATATCAGAGTAGATATCCAAGCTCTACGTCATTAAGACCGACTTTCAGTCAATTCATGAGCACCCACTGTTCACTGATTCTTACCGTCTTGGGTTCCCCCAGCCAGGTAATCTCTACCTCGCTACACGGCTCAGATCAAAAGCCAGAGACTTCATGCACTGGGCTGGTCACCATAGGCTCTTTTCCAATCAAATCTAACCTCTCCTATCATTGCACGTCGATGTAAGCGGTGGCTCGATATGTTTAACCTACCTCAGTCTCTGAGGGTTCACAGTCTCATCGACCGACTTTTCTATCTTGACTAGTACCCTCCGCCTGATCTCAGCATTGCTTACACTGTGGTCCCACCATACGTGAGCGAGGCTTCGAAGACATGTGTTCGAAAAACCTGCAACTCTTCTCGTCTTCCACTCTCAACAAAAATGTCTCAAAGCCAAATAACAGGACAGGGCGCACTGCAGCGCAGTACACTCGTCCTTTAATAGGTAGTGGGATATCTCACCAGTTACCACCACAGGTGACCAGGCTTACGTATCCGAGCTGAAATTTCGTCAGAAGGCAGTTCGTTCAAGTCAGTGCAAATAAATTCTCAAGTAAGTGAAGTGGTCGACACATTCTATTTCTTCCCTCCCTATCCTAGGAGTAGTTTCAGACCTATCTTGGAGCATCATCTTATATTTGACAGGATTGCATAGAAGAATCAACGCAATTACTTTTCACCAGATTGCCCTACCAGTATTTAACTTTAAAATAGAACTTGAAAAGCTTACAGCCTAAGTAAGCTCTATGTTACACCTCAATTTACTCTGGTAGTTAGTGCTGTGAATCGAAGCTGGTTGAAATGATGTAATATATATATATATATATATATATATATATATATATATATATATATATATATATATATTAGTTTGGTCTTGATTTTAGGTATTGATTTGAACTTAGTTTTTGTTGGTTACAGTAATCAGTAGAATTAGTGATAATGAACAGTCAACCTGTGTACTCAAAAACAAATTGTTTTGTAAGCAGCTAAGACAATACTATTCAACGATCAACCAACTATTACATCATAGGTTTGAGCTTTATTACACTCACCTTCACCTTAACAACCAGATAGTAACGTGAAGCTTCACATTAGGTGTAATTTACAATCTAGTACAAATATATATGCTAGATTATTGAATTGAGTAGAAATTATGTATGCAATCTAGTATGCTACGAAGCATAAACTACACATTCTCTAAGGAGATTGGTTACAATCACGTTGTTTGTGTAACACGAAAGTTACGTTGTACATTATGTAGTTGACTATTACATTGTAAAGTTGCCATTTTTATTATTACAGATTCATTGGTTTTCAATCTTTAACTCATTCATGATGGTACTATTCCTCGTTGCATTAGTATGTATGATCTTGATGCGAACCCTGCGACGTGATTATGCAAGATATAATAAGGAAGATGGTTTAAGTGATTTAGTAAGTTTGTCTTTCGTTTTACATTTTTCTGATTTCATCTTAAAGATTGCAAATAATTTCTCTAAATGTGATTCGCACTTTTTTTTTTTGCTCCATTTAGCCTAGAACTGATAACAAGAGTGCTGAAAAGAGGAGTAATACATTTTTCAGGTTGGTATTCATCGTGAACTGACATCAGCTGGAAAAACATTGGAAGACTAGGATCATTGAACAGCTGCTTCGTTCGAGTTATGATAATAATAAATCCCCATAAACCTCCAAATTGCAATAATGTAGTGCTTATTGGTGGCTCACTTCGAGAAGTAATTCTATAAGTTCATGACCAGTGGGACCAAACAAGTCGGACCTAAAGACAGTTACTCAACGACGGCATTGGATGGACGTTGCACTGTATCGTGAAGTGATGGAAGTAGGAAATATGGATTACTGCTTGGCAACTCCACTAGCCACGGAGCCTGAAGATACTGGGTTGGATCCCTAGCGAGACGGGGCCATTGGTGCGCACTGCTGAAGAGTCCCATACTAGGAAAACACAGCTGTTCAGTCCTCCCAGCTTCTCAATGTTTCTCCAGCTGATGTCAATCCTTGATGAATACCAACCTTAAATCAATAAGTAAATTCCCACAAACCTTCAAATTGAAATATGTTTTCGTAAAAGTGATGAAGCTTCTCCTTTTTTCAAACAAAGGAGTTTTACTGAAGTTTTATGCATTTCCAAGAAATGATGTATGCTGGTTTGTGTGAATACAGGTAGTTGTTTCGTTCTTATTTTGGATGCGTTAAATAGCATGAAACATTAACTATGTTGGTATTGAGCACAAAACTTATCAGTTTTCTCATCACCTTATGTGTTAGTGAATCAAATCAGGAATGAAGTTGATGGATACAGAGAAAAGTTGATTGTTTATACTGTATGCTGCTTCAATGGAGGTGTAGTTTGTTAACCTGCGTTCCTATTAGAAATTTCACTGCATCTGTTTTGTTTTTGCACCAAAAGCCGTCATATCATGCTTGACTTATAGCATGATAAACCTGTACTCACTTGCTGAGTTATATTGAAGAAACAGAAGACAACTCGACGAGAGAATTTTTATTACGAACAATTGGAATGGTAGTGGTTACATATGGCACTCCTTGCACTAACGCAGCCATTTGGAAATGTCTTCGTTTCCTCTCCGTTCCTGTCTTGATTTGCTCTTGGCCGGCTCTTCGTACACTCTTATCAGCATCATCCCCTGTAATACGCCTGTGTTGTTCCCTGCGTTGCTCTTGGCAGAAACCTTACCCATTGCCGGTAATTCCCTATGATTCCTGCCACCCTCTCGACATATACTACTTATATACGTTGTTATCAGCAACGCCCACTACAATATCATTACTGCTCACTGGAATGATTGGATTTTCTGTTTTTCACCTTGGAACTATAAACATAAACTTCATATATAACTGCCAGTAAGAAAAGTGTACCATCCAAATGAAATAACAGTACAGATGAGTTAAAATTAAACAAATCATTTGAACTGAATGTGACTACACAATGATTCGGACCTGAAGACAGCATAACAAATGACTTCAACTTCTAGTAGTCATTCATTTAATGTTTATATTTTCTCTGAGGACTTTAAAATAGTTAGATTTCCATAAACATCGAATGATGTACGATTATTTAATCCATTTAGTTGTATTGGGTTTTCGGTTGTTTTTAAGACTATTCGGTGACAAACTACCATGCAGATTAGTGTTTACAACTTAAACTGTACCATCTCATGAAATAATTAAATTATAAAGCATAACTCGCTAGGTTCTATGTTATTTTCGGATCTGGCGAAATTCTGCGAAGTGCTAAGTTCCGTTGGCTACAGGCAACTGGTAACATTTTTCAAAAGCGAATGTAGGAACTGAATCTCAAATTTCTTTTTAACCATTAGTTATTTGAAACAACTAGTCCCTTTTATGAAGACGTAGAGTATCTGAAAAATATGATGTATTTGCGCTATACTTTTCGAACTATCTGATCTCACATTCACTTGTCAGTACTGTTTGTTTATATACTTGTAACTTTCAATTGTTACACTAGGGCGATTTGTTCGGTCTCTGTTTGCGTATGAGCTACTATGCGGATGTCTCAATATTGCCTGGACATTTATTATGATGATTTACTTGGTTGTGGTTAGCAAGGGAATCCAAAACGTGGGTTGCGTCCTGTCTAGGACTCTTCAGCTAATTGTACCCGCACCCCAGTAAGTGATGTCGTTCCCACTGGGACTCAAATCTTACACCCCTCGCTTCAATATCGAGGCATCTGCATAGTCCCCTGTATGCCAATGGACATCAAACAATTCGATCCAATAAAAACAAAGGAGAATTATAAGTATACCAACAGATAGTAAAAATACCGTTATGCAAGAGGTGACTATCGTGCTTCAGTGACCTAATGGATAACAGTTTGGCATTCTGTACGAGGTAAGTCTCAGTGGGAACAACGTCACTCGCTGGGGTGCAGGTACATCAAGCTGACGAGTTCCAAATAGGACGAGACATTTTATATGAAAACTGAAAGTGGGAGAAGGACAAATCTGACATAAACAGACTTAATAATAGGAAAGATAATGAAGGGAAAATGATAAGATTTGAAGACAATCTTGGTAATACGAGAAAATAAACATTTCAAGGGTTGCGTTTAGTGTTAGGGTAAACAGTTTTCGAATACACAACGCGGACTTAAATTCGTGTATGGTTAGCGCTTCAACAAACCTAAGTACGCGCCCCTGACAATTTCTATACAAAATTGTAAAGACTGTTTTCATGTCAATTGACTTGAATATAATATGTCTGCCGTTCTTGGATATACTCCTAAATCGTAGGAAAGACGATTCATTAAAACGGTCGATATACAGAAAACCTACTTAAACAGGTCAGTATTTAAGTTTTGATATCTTTGGTCCAACTCAATTCAAGCGAAGTTTAGTTATGTACGTATTCTGAAGGATCCATCATACCTGTACAGAAAACTCATTATATGATGACATCAAAATACTCACTGAAACATTAGTGGAAAATAGAGATATCCATTGAAGTTCACAAACTGTTGCAAAAATCAGCCAGTTTTGAAACCTACTTTGTATTCTTTTCCGAAGAAATGCGTTTAAGTCGCTTTACTATACAGAGGGGAATCTAACAGCGTAATTTTAAATTTTAAAACTTAGTATACAGCTAGGCACATCGTAGTTGAGAAGACCAAACATATCCCATTGTGTTTATCAATTTACATATGTGTGTCTGAAAACACCTACATAAGGAGGACTAATCGAGATTAACACTTGAGGGCGAGAGAACATGTACCAAAACGGCTACAAACATCGATAAACGCAGGTGGCAAACAACCATCATCATCTATTGCAAAACATAATATTGATGAATGTCACAGAATTGATATAAAAACAGCCTTTACAATTTTGTATAGAAATTGTCAGGGGCGCATACTTAGGTTTGTTGAAGCGCTAACCATACACAAATTTAAGTCCCCGTTGTGTATTCGAAAACTGTTTACCCTAACACTAAACGCAACCCTTGAAATGTTTATTTTCTCGTATTACCAAGATTGTCTTCAAATCTTATCATTTTCCCTTCATTATCCTTCCTATTATTAAGTCTGTTTATGTCAGATTTGTCCTTCTCCCACTTTCGGTTTTCATATAAAATGCCCTAACAAGTAAATGCGTGATCAGATTGTTCGAAATGTATGGCGCAAATACATCACATTTTTCAGATAATAATTTACTTCTTATCACGCCATCCATTATTTATTGAAACAACGTGATGATAAGGCAGAGATTATCTGAAACATGTGATGTATTAGCGCTATACATTTCAAGCAATTCAATCACACATGAACGTGTCGAATAAATTATATAGAACTTTAGAAAGGTTAATCTAGCCAACAGAATTCTAATTGAGAAAGATAATAAGGGCAAGACGAAAACAAAGGAGGAGAAAGAATAATAATTAGAGATCAAGCCGCTACCACCACTAGTAAAAAGAGCTGAACTTAATACTACCAGGGTATGTTTAATTTTAGCACAAATTGTTTCTGAATACACGGAAGGGATTTGAATTTATGGATAGCAAGTGCTTCGATAAATCTAAGTATTCGTCTTTACAGCACAGTAAAGGCTATCTTCATATCAATCTTATGACCAGTTTCTAATATGTGTTTCGCTATTGATGAGGAAGGACGTTTGTCACCTAGACTTATTAAACTGTTAGAGGTCATTTGTTTCTGGAGCCACTTAAGCACATGATCAACCATTCTTAACTGCATGTCACGATTGCTCTTCCCCATGTATGTGTTTACACATACATGTAAATTAATATACACAATAGGTGGTGGGTACATTCGTTCAAGTGCTGTTTAGGTTTATGTTGAAGCATGGGCTTCTCAACTAAGATGACCTAGGTCACGTAGTACGTCCTGCTGACAGCTGATTTGAGCCTTTTCTCCAGGATTAGGCTATTCGATTCACCCCTGTATGGCAGTGTGATACACACATTTTTCTCAGGGACAGAATACTGACTATTCGGTGTCAATATCATACCAATTTTGCATTTGTTGATAAATTTTAGCAGATGTCCATTTCGCAATAATGTATCCGTCCGGAATTTTGCTTTTATTTCTTTTGTGTCATCTGTGCAAATACGGTAAACTCTATTGAACAAACACCTAACTAGGCCGCGTTTGTATTCGGGAGTACAGTAACTATGAAAACTAAGGTATTGTCCTGTCCAAGTCAGCTTCCTTTGCATAAACCTTCTGATTAAGCCATCCCCTCCTTTGCTAATCAGTGTCTAAAAGTGGTAGTTTGTCATCCACTTCTTCTTCGTAAGTGAAGCTAATGTGGCTTTGTGCATTGTTCATTTTATCTAATAAGCACATTACCTCCTCACGGTAATCTCCTTCTTCTCATTACGTTGTTTAAACTTATCATGAGGACTAATTGTTTCATTATTCATTTATCATTTCGCCTCTCACCTTTCAAATATTACGTGATATTTTCCCATTCTTGTCATTTCTTCATCTTTGCACTCTTATAAAATTGGACTAGTCGAACCAACAGACTTCAGCGCAAAGTTCCACTTAGTAATATTTGTTTATTTGAACAGTCTTGCAACTTTTAAAGTTATGTGACGTCGTTGTTTACTCTGTCAAAGGCTGATTCTTTTACAACTCGAAAATATTGTTTGTGTTATGTTCGGGGTTTCGTCCTGTAGACATTTATACTACTACTGACGAGTCCCAAATGGGACGAAATGCGCATCCTGGATTCTACTGCTAGCCACTATGCATCATTACTATACTATTTAATTTAGATAGATAGAAATGCATAAAAATAGAGTGTTTCACAAAATTAAATATATCCAAGTTGTCATATTTCATATCCGCGCTGAAAAAAATGAACGGAAGTAGGATTTGATGATAATTAAGTTGCCAAGGAAGACGTGAGTAGGAGGGACCAGTAAATGAATTTGGCGGTTTGTGTGGATTTGGGGTTTTTTCAAGTTGGTATATATCATGAACTGATACGAAATACATCAACAGCTGCCTACGCTCGCAACTGAAGCTCAGACGGCCAGAAATAATAAGCAACAAGGAACTCTGGGAACGAACCAACCAAGAACCTATCGCCTGACAAATATGCAGAAGAAAGTGGGAGTGGATTGGACACTGAGAAAGCCGTTTGGGGACATCATGCGCCTGGCCACGCACTCGAGTAGAGCCCAAATGGGAAACGACAAGTTGGGCTTCCGAGGCGAGTGTGACATGGAGGAGATCGTGTGAGGAGGAAATGAAAGCTTGTGAGCAGTAGTGGAGCCAGGTTGCAAAGACTGCATAGAAGAGAGTGAAATGGCGATGCGCTACTGAAGCCCTATGTTCCACTAGGAACCCAGAGGAAAAATAATAATGATAATAATAATAATGGACTGCCATCAACTGGAGGAACATTAGAAACCTTGGAACACTGACAACCGTTTCGTCTTAGTATGTGACTCTTCAGTAGCGCGTACCCACGACCCCTCCAGAGACCGAACTCTCGACCTTCAGGTCCTGTGGTCAGCACGTTACCATTGAGCTACTGAGTGGGACTTCGGTGATCCATATTTCCAACTCGTTTTAGTTCACGACATAGCATGACTATCTCCTAATGTCATCGTTGAGTATTTGTTCTCACGGCCACCTAGTTTGCCCCACTGGTCACGATTTCTCATTGGAACTTTAGGAATGACCTCTCAAAACTAGTCGCCAATCAGCACTAGTTCAGTTGAATTGAAACCCCGAGATTCATACTTAGATGAAACAGCTGTCCAGTCCTGCCTGGTTTCCAATGTTCCTCCACCTGATGTCAGTCCATAATGAATACCAACTTGGAAAAGCAACAATAAATGAAGGTTGATAGAATGCTTCAAATTCCTAGCGTTGACAAGCGAAAGCACCAGACACGCATAATATGGACTACTGTCCGAATAATTTGTATAATTCACTCCACCAAGAAGTCAATGACTACCAAAACTCTTCTGCCTTAATGCTTTGAGTTACAGCACTGATCAACCCTTGTTTAGCAATCAACATGAAATCTTAATTCAGCGTTACATGGGAGCTGTGGCTCAGTGGTTTAAAGTGATGGCTACTAACAACTGGGTCGCGGGTTCCAGCCACGCTCCACTTACTGAGGGATTGACAGCTAGGTAGTATCACTAGCCTTCAAACTATAGGTGTGGCTCACTGCGTACTGCGCGGATGTAAAAATGGTGGGTAAGTACGTCCTGTTTTTCTTTACCAGCCACATAAAATTAAGTATCTTCATTTTGTGAATGCATTTCTTCTATTGATCTGTTTTAGAATATATATCTTTATTTGTGTGCATAGTAAACTTGTCACTATATCAATTATCAATCTGTAGGATCCTTTCACTCCTTTCCTAGTAATTTAAAAGTTTTATTAAATTTCTTTCCTTTTAGGATCGTGAACTAGGTGATGAATATGGTTGGAAACAAGTACACGGTGATGTATTTCGGTCTCCGCCTCATTCTTCTCTACTTGCCAGTTTAGTTGGCACAGGAATTCATGTTGCTGTTGTATCATCAATAGTTTTATTTTTGGCATTAACCAATAAGTTGTATACTGAACGTGGAAGTTTTGTATCTACAGCAATATTTGTTTTTTCTGCCACTTCACCAATTAATGGAATGGTAGGTGGTAGTTTATATGCACGTATGTCAGGTAAGTTGTACTATTCGTTTTTTCGATAAGAGTATATTACGTTATATACTTAAGTCAATTTTTCTTATTTTAAGGCAAAGTTGTACCTATTGGATGCTCAACACCAATATCTATCAAGTAAAGAAACACGTGTAGTTGAGCCACGAAAAATAAAGTTGTTTTTATGAAATGAAGGTTGTTATATAGTGTTATAGTGTTTGCTTTAACTTTTTGTATTGTCTGTGCTTGTCATGCATGCTTGTGGTGTTTCAATAGAGTTCTACGGATAAAGACGATTGCTACCTGAAATCATATTGGTTGATCAGACTAAACAGTTTTTAACTGACGAAATATACCCATTTATTCATTAACAAGAACAAGGCATGTATCAGCGAAGAAATATTTCTTTTCAACAGTTTTTTTGTAATGGCAATATTCACTGTCTTGGGGTCTGTGCACAAAGTTCTAAGGCTGCCTAGATTAGAGTGTATGTGGAGTTGTGGTTCATTGGTTTAGGGAGTCGACTTTCAACCGATGGGTCACCAAGTCGACCACCGCTCTACCTACTGAAGTTAGGCAACTAGGTAGTGTCATCAGCCAGCACACACCAAAGTGGGGCTCATCGCCTACCACACCAATATGTACTAGATAACTGAGTGGATTTCCACTTCTCAGGTAGGAATGTGAAAACAGTGATATGTTTCTTTCAGACAACCAGCATTGCATTTCTTCTGCCTCACTTCAGGAGGTAGATGCGTTAAGAAAAGGTTGGCTGTAGAAATTACGCTTTCCACTTTACTCTGTTTTTCTATCATTGATAACAAGGTTATTGAGGAAACGGAGGCGAATTTAGTGCATCTCCTGCCCCCCACCCTTAACTTTTGTTTGTGAATGACTTCGGACAAATGTCTATTTCTGCCGCCATGAAAAAAAACTGATCTACTTATTACAAAAACACCTCTATCCTTGTCATCAACACTTTTCCACCTCTTTATGAACAACGCTTTTATCTTTCATTTCCTCATGACAATGTTATACTAAAATTGCCAAACTCCCCATTAGCGGCCCATGCTAGTAATATTAACTCCGAAACAACGTTCATGTTCTCCGCAGATTGCCCTTCAAATAAAAATGGTATTCACTCACCTATGTTAACAGTTATCAGGAAGTGGAACGTGAGAAAAAATGATGAGTAAATGTATTTCGTTTCCGAGATATGGATATAAGACTTAAATATTCTTGCTGACTTGATGGATATCATCAAGCTATTGAAAGGAGTCTGCGTCTCACCAGTATCTAGGAATTCGACGGTTATTTCTCACAGCCTAGTGATTGTAGGTATGACAGTAAGTTCTAAATCAGAAAGTGTGCCTACCCCAGCTGACTACTGCCTTGTACGCTATTTGGTTCGGTGGTGTAGTAAATGGCAAGTAAGGTCGCCACATACGACAGTGTCGAAGATGAAGGTATACAAGATCAGTTTTAGGAAAAGTTAACTAAACAAACTTAATCATCATGAAGTAGCCTTAAACTGTCTTCAGTGTGCTATAAATGCAAAACTACGAACTGTGAGTGAAAGATTACTCTATCTCAACAGCTTTATTTTGATGTATGGATGTACTGGAACATATTCCAATTGATTTATTACAACAATAAGATTAAAGGTGATCTGAAAAGGAGTGCACAGAATGATTTGAAGTATCGAGGTTGGGGGTGGATAGAAAAGGATGACTAAGTAAGGAAGGCAAAAAAAGATGAATAAGAGTCTGCAATGGTTTAGACTTGATCATGAGTGGTTTTACATTGTTATCTGTGCTTGTCTATTGCTTGATGTTCAGTTGGTGACTAGTGTTCGTAAGTATGGTATGTGCTTTGCACCATTAAAGTGCAAAATACTCTTGCAAGATTGTCAGGAGCCTGTGGCTGCACTCACTGTTGGTGGTGAGCCATTGGAAATAGTCGAAAATTTTGTGTATCTGTGTAGTTGTTTGACTGCTGGTGAAGGCGTGAGTGGTGAAATTTTCAGCCGCTTATCGAAAGCCAAAGTGGCATATGCCAGTCTGGGCCACCTTTGTCACTGTCGCGACCTTAGTTTGACCGTAAAAGGTTGGTTTTAAAACGCTTCGGTGCTAGCAGTTCTGCCCTACGTCTGTGAGACCTGGCCCTTCCTCTCCGAGCTGACGATATGCGACGACTATATGTGTTCGGTCATCGTTGTCTCCGTAGGATTGCTCTTATCCGGTGGCAATACCATATAAGTAATCCTGAGGTACGACAGCATGTGTTTGGCCATAATGGAGATCGTTATTCAGTAAGTGAAGTCATTTGGAAATACCGGCTTCAGTGGCTTGGAGATGTGTTATGCATGTTGTCCCAACGGCTTTCATACCGTTCATTGCTAGCCCTGGGACTGAGTGGAAGAAGTGGAGGGGGTGGTCAGTGTATGGCGTGGCACCGTGGGATGAAGAATACCTATATCGGGTTAGCGTCTGTTGGCGCATCACGACTCTCTGGGTGGGGTGCGAGAGATCACGCAACTCAGTGGCTTGAGACGTTATCAGATATGGCTCAGAATGGAAATCAGTGGCAGTCTTGGTACCCTTACTGTACCATGTTTGTGTTCCAATAAAATATTGTGTTGTCAAGTCATTGCTAAACACGAGTTGGAGAAATCGAAAAATGCCATGTACACGCATCATAGGATAGGATTCATGTACAAGTCTTAACGAATAACTATTCTTTTGTCCACGATATACATTTCCATAGTCAAGTGTTTCATTCGGTCTGACTTTAGTGTAAAAAAGTTTTTTATCTTTTATGATAATACGTACGTTTTCACAAAAATGTGGGGAGGTTGCCTACTCTCGAGAAGTATTTATCTGGAAAACCATATACGCTGTGTAAATTCACTTATTAAGTGTCTTGTCTAAGAAAAAACTAAGATTCCAACTAATTAGTGAAGTTGTATCTCATCAGTTTAAAAGCTGAACTGTCAGCTAGTGGGCCACTAGCTTCGATAACGATCCATTTGCCGAAGTGGCTTCTTTAACGCTTTTCTGTGGCATTTTACTTCTGCCTAGAATGAAATGATACTTCATGGCATACATTTCGATCGGTAATGAAAGTCGTCATTGCTTTTTTGGTTAACAATCCCATTACGTTTCGATTTTTTCTTGTCAGTTTGGGGAAAAGGTCTTATCTTTGCCTTCAAAATATTTGTTGAACAGCACATCCTATCTGCGATCCCTTAATTCACACCAAGTTGGCAATCCTACCAATAATAGTAGTTCATTATGATGATCTATTTTTGTGTGATTTGCTTTACTTTCATAATTCATATCTTCATTGTTTTGTTTTCTCAGGTAAACGCTGGATTCGTCAATTTCTTATGGGTGCTACATTGATGCCATTCTTGATATGCTGCTCTACGTTTATTGTTAATCTAGTCGCTATCTACTACCAAACTAGTCGATCCATACCATTCTTCACAATGCTTGCTATTGCTGCCATTATTTTGTTTGTAATTATTCCACTAAACCTAGTTGGTACTGTTTTGGGTCGAAATTGTTTGGCGTTGGGAATTTCCCATGTCGTGTAAATCCTGTTCCTAAACCAATTCCCGAAAAGAAATGGTTCATGGAGCCGTCATTTCTTATCATGGCCGGTGGTTTACTACCTTTGGATCAATTTTCATTGAGTTGTGAGTTTTCTTTTTGTAGCAATATCTTTTCATTGAATTCATTTTGATGTTGATCTCGACCCCGTAAACTTAATAACAGATAAAACAACAGAGAACCTACATTATAGGCACTTAACCGTAAATTGCCAGACTTATCAAACTCTGATATGAAATACTGCTTAGGTTTGTAGTAGGCTAAAAGTGGCTGTGAAACATTCATGTTCCATAAAAATTAGTACGCATTCTTTATTTCTGTAAAATCGAAGTTTGTGATTCACATCATCAGTGTCATGTTTCTCGAGCACATTTTGAACGTGTCCGCATATCATTTTAGGGAAATATGTGATTCAGATGAAGTGGAAACTAAATTCTCCTTCCAGCTGTTCCAGTCAGATATACTCATAGTTTTCTCTCGAAAACCATTTTCAAAAAACTACAGGTATTTATCAACAACTGCCTACGTTCGTTACTGAAGTTCAGATGGGGACGAACTAACCAAAAACCTATCACTCAACAAACATGCAGAAGAAAGTGGAGATGGATTGGGCATGCACTGAGGAAACCATTCGGGGACATCACGCGCCAGGCCAAGCACTCGAGTAGAACCCAGATGGGAAGCGGCGAGTTGGGCGTCCGAGGCAACGGTGACATGGAGGAGATCGTGTGAGGAATAAGAGAGAGCTAGTGGGCAGTCGTGGAGCCAGGTTCAAAAGATTGCAGAGAACAGAGTGGAATGGAGACGTGCTAGTGAAGCCCTATTTTCCACTAGGAACCCAAGGGATAAATAATATAATATTATAATATTTCTCTCGAAATATTGAACATATAAACTCCTAAATTGCTACATCTTTCCTTCAATTATAGGTATTTTGTGTTCACATCATTTTGGGCGTACAAAATATACTTTGTTTTTGGTTTCACCCTACTTGTACTATTTCTTCTTATTGCTGTAACATCGTCTGTCACAGTTGTGGGGACTTATTTCTTGTTAAATTCTGAGGATTATCGTTGGTAAGTTTGTGATAGTTATTCATATTTGAACTTGGTTACTTTATATGTTGTAAGATAATGGTTGCAAGACATTAACGCTGTATTTTTCATACTTTATTTAACACAAAGAAATCATATAAAGGTTAAATTACGTAGTAGTATGTTTATTATCTTATCCATGTAGGTAATGAACAGGTATTCCAATTTCTGGAACCTAAAGACTTATGCATACATACTTCAATATGTATAAGTATGCTTATCTAGTTATTGAATTTTGGCTCATTGTTCAGGGCACAAAACTTGTGACTGAAGTAAGCTGTACGATCGGACCTACCATCGTTTGCCTAAGTTTGACCCACCAAGTAGTAAAAATACTTAACATTCACACAATGGGTGTACTTCACTCTACCTAGTATACTTAACCTCCCTATCCGTCGACACATTTATTGAGTCATCAAAGTGTTGATTATAAAAGATAAGGTAAAGTGCAACATTTTACCTGTTTTCCGACCTTCATTAAATCTGAAATCAGTAATTTTAGTGAATTGCTTAGCTTTGAAAGACTTACTAATGATGCATAAAATACCATAAAGGTGTTTCCCTATGATTTGAAACTTCTTTTCTGAGATCATAGGTTCAATTTGCAGTTGAAGCCTGAAACATTAACAACTGTATTGTCTTGTATTATTTCACATGGTTTTGAAAGTTTTTGCTGAAAATTCATTTTATTATCATTATTATTTGACTATCTGAGATAGCCGCAGTTTGACAGACTAGTATTTGTATAGTACTTATCATCATCACCCAGTATAAATACTGGTCAAATGATAATCGATATGATGCTCCCCCTCTCTGATTCAGTTTGATTTGGATTTGGATGTGAAGTCCTGACTAGGCAGCCAGTGTAAATACGATCAAGCAATAGTAATGCATCACAAATTCACATAGTAGTTGGGCTAAAACCCTGGTCAGCAATCGGATCTCTTAGCTCAGTTGGTAGAGCATCGGGCCGGAAACCCAGTGGTTGCTGGTTCGAGTCCAGCCAGGGTCCAAATTTTTGATTTCACTGTCATTCATCATCACCCAGTATTTGTTATCATTGTTGTTATCAGTGATTTATGCTTGTTAGTTTATGTTTGTTAATCAACCATCTACTATCGTTGTGTATCTGATCAGGCACAAAGCAACAAGTTAGTTAGCTAGTTGTGTATGTCATTTAGTTCCCAAATGTGTTTGTTAAAGTTGTGCTTTTTATAGCTTTTTGTTTGTTTATGATACTACATTTTCAACGTTCCTCCAACTCATGTCAGTCGATAATGAATTCCAACCTAAAATCAATTAATAAATCTCCACAAACCTCCAGATGGAATTAATCTAGTGCTCATCGGTGACTAGCTTCGAGAGGTAATTTCTCAAAGTTCCAATGAGAAGTCGTAACCAGTGAAGCCAACCAAGTCGAACATATGAGGACATTGGATGGAGGCTGCGCTGTATCATGAACTGACAGAAGTAGGGAATATGAACCATTGAATTCCGACTCAATCACAACGTTTTGGCCAAGGAACCTATAGGTCCTGGGTTTGATCCATGGCGGGGTCATGAGTGCGCACTGTCGAGGGGTTCCACACTAGGACGAAACAGTTGTTCATTGGTCCCAGGTTTTCAATGTTCCTCCAATTGACCTCACTCCATGATGAGTTCTAACCTGATGTCTGTATCTGTCTATCTATTGACATTATGGCATTCACTCAAGACATTGCTTATTCCCAGTTGTATCGAATCATTATCAATGAGACGACGCATTTCCCCTACAAGTTATAGACTAAAATCAAATAGCCAACTGCTTTCAATTATCCACTTTTCCATCATTGTAGGTGATGAATTGACTGCATGCCTAAATTTTCAACTACCAAAACTGTTTCATTGGATTTTTCCTTTTTTTCCACTTGTTTTAACCATTCAAACTTCAACAAATCGCAAAACATACTCTCGCGTATTCCTAAAATATATTGAACCTATCGTTAAACAGGTTAACAACCAGATTACAAGAAAATATCACAGTAGACGCACAACAATGCATCATATAGTTATTACGGGAAACCATAGCTGGAACAGCAATTTTTCCTACTGGCTGAATGAAGAGCCTCCACCTTCAAACTTACGTGTACTTTTCTATCTAACCCACATGCAACAACATATAAACTAGATAATGACCTAAAAACTACTGGTCGTTGTCCATTGCTGCCTTTCATACTGTTATTATTAACATTATTTAACTGCCATGATTTTTTAATTTGCTAATGTTTGTACAAGGAGTAAATTCGTTGAAATATCACACTCAGAATCCCAAACTGTGCTAAAAGTTCTTGTCTGAAATAAAGTGATTATTATTATTATTATTATTATTATTATTATTATTATTATTATTATTATTATTATTATTATTATCTTCATAATTACATTAAACTAATTGTGCTGCAACAACGTATATCCGATACGATGAAAGTTATTACCTGCTGATAATTTCAAAATGTTATTAGTATCAACTATGTTACCCTTTTATGTGTAAATATATTTATATTTAACTGTTATTTTTGTTTTTACCATATAGGCAATGGACAAGTTTTCTTTCCGGTGCATCTATCGCGTTTTATGCATACTTGTATGCTATTTACTATTACTTCTTTAAGACAAAGTAAGCTTATATGAGTGAGTGTGTGTGTGTGTGTGTGTGTGTGTGTGTGTGTGTGTGTGTGTGTGTGTGTGTGTGTGTGTGTGTGTGTGTGTGTGTGTTATCAATTACTATTTCTACAGAAATGATAATTGAAAGAAGTGTTTCGAAAGTGTTTTATATCAGTTTGAATTGTTTAGTAGACTAGATAACAATGCTTATTATGTAGCTGAAGTCTCTGTCCTTTTTCATTACTAGTGCTCTTTTGTTATACTTCCAGGATGTTTGGTGTGTTTCAAACAACTTTCTACTTCAGTTATATGGCATTGTTCTGCCTACTCATGGGGGTACTTTGTGGTAAGTCATTTTTTTTCATCTATAGTTTATTTTTCATTGCAACTTACTAAGTTTTAAATCTATGGGAGTGGAATAATCGTCTTCAATGTGTCGTGAATTCGTGGAATTCAAAGTTGAACTCGAGCATACTAAAGATTTGATTTGTCTTACATGATACTTTTATTATCTACCGAGTATTATGCTAATTGCAGGTGTTTATTGGAACATTAGTGTACTTCAGTTTCTTATCTTCTAGCCTATTTATGATGAACTTGATCGAATAACTTGGACAAATATTTGGTACTTGACAGCTGGATTGGTCATCATTCTTTGAGCTGTTTCTCATCAGGAATCTCCACTGGGAAGTTTCAACTGATTACTGTACAGTTAGAAATTCCCTCGTTGTTTTCACAGTGAATATTTTGCTTATTGGTTTAAATATTCAACTTTAAGATAAAATGAGTCTCGACTACAGCTGAGCTCCACCTGCTTTATAACTGACTGGTATCCAAAATCGTCGCTTACAGAATATGCCTACCGCCCAGTACGATTGTGAATTTTTTCCCAGAAATCCGATAAATAACCAAATGCGCAAGTGACTTTTACTGTAATAACGAACTGAAGTTGTTATTATTAAACTAAAACCACGAATCATGATCTGTTTTTTGACTTATTGTCATGAAAATAACTATAAAATAGGCATCAACGGAATGAACAACAGAATGGTTTTATTTTTCTCATACTGGGTGATGATTAAAGGTGAGGTGAAAGTCTGGACCGCGGCCGGATTCGAACCAGCGACCACCGGGTGACCGGCTTGTGCTCTACCAACTGAGCTACGAGGTCCGATTACTGACGCACTCACCCACCTTGTACACATCCGTACAGTAGGCAACGAACCATGCCTACTGTGTGAAGGCTAATGTTCTATCTGGCTGCCCAAACCTTGTCAGGTGCAGCGGGGCGGGGCTCAAACTCGTGAACCAATGGGTGATAATCATCTCCCCAAACCACTGAGCTACAGCTGAACAACAGAGTTTTCTTCCATAGCAAACTACGATTTAAAACGTCAACAAGATGCTGAAGATTCACAAGGTGACGTAAAGGGTTTGAGATAAACAAGTGCTCAAAGGAAGATAGAACATTGGAGAACTTAAGGGGATCACAAGAGGATGAGGAAGATACTAATATAATAGAGTGTTAAAGTGATGAGCAAGTACCTCTGCTTAATGCCTGTCAAACAGCTTTTTCAGGATTGTTGGTATGAGAATTCAATGTTCTACGACCAGATAGAGAAAACCCGTACCCCCATTATCGAAGATCGTGGGACAGGGAGAAGTGTGCTAATTTGAGGCCTGACTTTTTCTAACCCACCCTTCCCATAGACAAGGTAACATCGCTATAGTGTCGGTGATCATCCGCAAACAACACCTTACTGTTGTCTCACGCCGCCTAGTCAGCGGTACAACTTCACCCTCGAACCTTCATCATCGTGTAGAAATTCACACCATAATAGTAACTGCTTCTCGTCTTACCAGCAAACCTTTCTGGCTTGCTAGAACTTCAAACAGTTTTCGCTCCAGTCATTGTAGCTCGTGCGGTGAGTCATTATGATATGGTTGGGACTCATTACTTGCAAGTAGCAATAAATAGCATGCATAAAAAGTATACAAGTGTAACATCAAAGGAAAAAAACTGAAGATAAATGGGAAAGCGGTTAACAATAATAAGCCTGTACGCTGTTGAGTTGCACTAAAATTATTCGATAATATGTGGGTTACTTGAAATAGTTAATCACTTCTCATTTTGTAACTTTTATTCTAATGATGCGTCAAAATATCTTGCAGGTGTGGGGTTAGCTACTTTGATTGACACTGAGGAATCTGATGCATAGTGATTGGTTTGAGTGTCCTGATGAAATAAACACCTTTCTTGATTTCACCTATCTGTTGTATGCGTAAGAAATTCAGTTGCCCGGTTGAATTATAAATTTGAAATGATCTCTTACTGCTGGAGATTTGGGGTTGTTGTTGTTGATATATTCAATCTTATATCAAGATAAAAATTAAAAATGATATCAGCTTGAAGCAACTATTGTTTTGAAATGAACTAGTTTATGCTGGAACCGTTAGCTTTATTATTGACCAATGTTTCATGAAGTTGTTATACAGAAGAAATACTATCATACACTTCTGGTCAGTCGCTTACAGTCGGCAAACATAAAATCCTAGGCGTAAAAATAGCTGGCTTCTTCAGAATTTTACTTGTATGTATCAGTTAGACTTTATCCTTTTATTTTTGCTTTTTGAAGTTTACAGTCCAGTAAATCTATGCTAAAAGTCATCATCTGTACTTCACGATGCAGGCTAAAGTATTTTGTTGTTTATACCGTAGATTCTAAAAATTAAAAGTGGATTGACACAAATCAATTTCCTGAGCCTATGCCTTTCAAATACAATACAAAAGCTATGTAAACGTTCACGATATGTTTTACGTTGAGCAGCAAAAGTCAAATATTCATCTATGGACTTGGAAGTTAAAAAATCCAAGACTAACTGACTGGCAAAATCAACGTAAAACCTGGCGCAGGAGTGCATCGGCTCAAGTTCCTACAGTTCACAAAAGTATATAAAGAACAGACGGATAAAAAAAATAGTAAAGTCAAAGTATATCAAGTAGTGTGAGAGAATAAACAATCGCAAGATAATGGTTAGTGTGAATATTCAAGCTTTAGAGAAGACGTCAAGGAGTAAATACATCTGCACCATTGTAACCGATGTTCAGCCATGTCACCAAGATTCAATCCTCAACCACTGATTCCTGGCGTCTCGAGGACCCCAAACAGGCAGCCTATATCTCCCCACTCGGCTCAGACCAACAGTCAAGGATTTCAGCGACTGGCGCCACGTCTTGGTCTCGTCACCCTGAACCCTTTTCCATCTTAATCAAACTTCCCCTGATTGGCACATAAGAGCAGGCGGCAGTTCGGTATGCACAGTACATGTCCAGTCTACTTGCGTATCCTACTTAGTACCCTTCGCCTGACCTTAACATTGCTCACACGATGATTCTGCCGAACGTGAGCAATGCTACGAAGACATCTGTGATCAAAATCCAGTAATCGCTTTATGTCTTCTACTGTTAACAGCCGTTTCTCACAGTCGCACGATAAAATAAAACAGATTGCAGCGCAGTATTCTCATCCTTTGATAGATAACCATATATTGTACCGAAGCCACAGGTTTGGCACATCCCAAACGTGTTTTCTATATCCGAGCTGAGATTTCGTCAGCAACCAGCTTGTTCGGTGGGCTGATGTAACTCCCTAAGTAAGTGAAGTGGTTGACACATTCCACCAATTCACACCCTATCATTAGGTGGAGAGTCATCAACTGACATTTGACAGGTTGGAACCCCATGCTAAACAAAAAAAATTCAAGATTTTACTTGAAACGTTGAATTCAGAGCCCAACAATAAAATCTAAATCTAAAGTAGTTAGGCTGGTAAAACTCATGATCTGTCTGTAAAAAGATCTCATAACTAGGTAGGAAAGTGAGGGAAAAATCGCTGTACTACTTCGAATCTTCGTAATTGATGCAAACTGCTGTGTGATTTTTACTAGTTATGTATATTTTTTTTTTTTAATATTACATGTTAGGTTCAGTTGGATACATGGCCGCAAATCGGTTTGTCCGTAAGATATACTCGACTGTGAAAGTGGATTAAGCCATAGACACTCGTTCTCCTTTGGGATTTTTATTTCTCTTGGTTTAGACTGTGATTTACGCACTTTTTTCTTCCCTACTCTGTTTTAGATTTTGACTCAGTTATTTGTCTATAAATGTACACATACTCTTTTTTTATATTTTCGCTTATTGCAGTTGTATTGGTTTTGTTATCTGTTGCAACAATATTTGTTTTGCCTTCTGGCGTGCACTACTGTTGGAAAACATATTACTCTTCACTTCTTTATTGTGTATAAAAGTGATTTACTGCATTACTTCAGTTCGATAATCATATTGGTCTTGTTGCTCGTTTTACTCTTCGCTATTTTCATGTATACTAGGCTTCTTGTAAAAGCTACTGATGACCATCCTGTTTTGTGAACAGGACTCAGTATTTTTAATGATTTTACATTGACGTCCACTGGTTTCATGTAAAATACTCAATAAACAGTCCATTTTATCTATGAATTTTAGTATGGCTGGCTAAATTTAACTTTAATTGTGAAAAATAAGTGTGTCTATTCAAATGGATTCAATTTATTGTCATTTAAATCTGCCTTTTATAGACAGAATTAATGATGTTTAATTATTTACTGTTAAATGACTTCTGTACTGTCTTTGTTATGCAGTATTATATTGAGTATCCCCCCCCCGTATGTTGTCAGATGAATTCTAAACGACTGTGTCTTTGAAACACCTTGATAAAAACAATAAAAAGCATGGATGTTGTACGATTCGTGTCAAATTGGTTCTGACCAACATGGCGAGTTCCTTCGATTAGTTTAGTCTGTTTACTGGCGTCTTTAAACTCAGGAGAGGCATCTGTACAGGAAAGAAGAAGACCTTAGTACAGAAAGGAAACAGTCACAAAATATTAATAATGGTGTACTAAAGCAAATAAACAATAATGGCCTACAATACTACTCTGAGTAAAAGCATTCAAACGTAATGTGAGTAGCAAGTTATACAGCGGTAACAGCCAAGAACCTATCAGTTTCATTGTTTCTTCAGGTGTTTCAGAGCTAAATCGAGGATAACATGTCTTTTACCTGATACGATATGACTTCGAATGGGTAGTAAAAGAGTTCCATGTTCAAAACGAAAAGTGAAAATGTCCGGGAAGCGGAAAAAAATGGTAAGGGTTATATCGAACATAGCTAAATGTAAGATCTTATGGTGTCACATAGGTCGGGTTCCCCAATTTATTTGTTTAATTAGCTATGTGGTTTGTGTTTCCACTGGTGTGTACGGTTGACTTTCTACCAGTAGGTTACCGGTTCAAGTAGCGCTCCACCTACCGAGGTTTGGACAACCAGGTAGTGTCACCAACGTTCACACAATAGGTGTGGCTCATTGCCTACTTTGCAAGTCTCCACAAGGTTGCTAAATGATTCGCTTTTTTTTGACGTAAACTTTCCTGACCTAAATGCAGTTATTCGTATCTCAAGAATGGAACATGGTTATGTTCCTGCAGAGCTTTAACGCAAATAGTATTAACATGGATCTTGAACTAATAACTTCAGGAAGCTTTGGTTGTATTGTGTTCTCTAAGCTGAGTTGCTTAATCGTGAAGCTTCCTAGATGACATCAGTGTGAAGTGAGCTGTCAATACCTCTCCGTGAGTGATTTAGTAGCTTTCTCTGACGAAGTGGTCTATGATTGGTTTCCCCCCGATGATGTCGTCTAGAAAGACGATAAAAGCTTCACGATTAATAACCAAGTTCAGAAAACAATGCAATCAGGACCATCCACCTAAGCATCGAACAGTCTCCACTATTTCACTTCAGGAAGCACTCATCGAACCAACATATTTGCGAAATTCTTTCCGTATTAGTAGATGAGGACAAGAAAGTGGTCGTAGGCATCAGATATTGGCGTGGGCAGAAAATTTGAATTGGCGACATTTTTGACAGGACAGAAGTACTTATCTGCTAGCATGTCTTCATCGCTGACACTTGAAACAATGGTAAAAGTAATTCATTCGTCACGTTACAGTAATTTTATGAATCACGTGCCAAATTTGCTGGCTCTATTATTCTGTGTGTTTACCATAATGGTTCCAATAGCAATAGTGAGAGTATAGCAAAATGTCAGTTTTCGTACTCTTACATCTAGTTCTTAGGGCTTAGTTGGTAATGTCAAAAAAAGAACTGAAACCACTCAGTGAGAATTTTTCACAAAATAAGTACAATCAGATCACCAGTATTACGAAAGTCTCATGACCAATTTTAGTCTGGATTTTACCAATCAGCGCGATGTTTGTTGAAAGTCACACGCTCTATATTACACTTGGCCCTAATGACGTTTGTGTTCAGCCGATGTTTTATTGCCCTGGAATTGATAATCGCTATTATTATTTCGAGGCTAGGCAGATAGTTGGGCGATGTGAAAGACATATGCTTTACCAGTTCTTTGAAGTCAGGGAGAAATATGTGAGAGTTATTAGAATGATATGGTCGTTTTCAGGTGGGTGTTGTACTCAGCAGTCCTCAGTACAGGTAATATGTTACATGAAATGCAGATTGTTATTGCTTGAGAAGTCATGATTATCACCAACTACTCGTTTGATGCAATTGACTGATGTCTTCTCCTTAGCAAATTCTCTGCTAAACGAAAATTGGCGTTTGTGTCGGCAGCACTAACCATTATAATATAAGCTAAGGTAATGTAGCGTCACACACTTCTGCAGAATCAATAGCTTAGGGTTCGACGAGATTCAACATTGATGCTGACCTTCATAGTTTTATCCGGCTAGCTAGGCTGAGGGCGCACGGTCGGGCATCCATACCATTTGGCACACTATCGAGTTACGTTGCACTGCTCGTAATAAACCCTCCAGTCAGTTAGTTGGGATGGATCGGTATTTTGACACGACCTTGTTTACATACTATTCAACCTGACTACGCTATTGTGGTCTTCCTTGATCTCTTATTTGTGGGTATGCATCAACTACGAGTAGTTAGTGATTGGTCTCTGCGTCTTTCAAGTTCGCACCAGGACAGTTCCTAAAGTAATACTGATTTCCTCTTGTGGGTTACTATCTCTCAGTGAAGACAACTGGGCTGGGTAACAATACTGTGGAGGTTGAAATTCTAATCTCACTGCATTATGCTTGTCACTGGGCTTCGCTTTTGTCACCTACTAACTAATCAGCATTTTCAAGTAGCCAGTTTCGGGCTTCCAATACTGGTGCAATCCTAGCAGACTTAACTGAGGCATTCCATATAGTGATACTGTCGAAGCCATTCGTCGTCATGAAGAAGGTGGAGGATGCAGTTGGTAAGCTGCGGAAAATGTAGGACGGTTGTTTCATGGTGAACAGAGGTTACTCACGCTTATGACGTTCACGTTTGGTATTTAAGCGCACTTTCGGAGTGGACCGTAAACCCCAAGGTCAAGGGCGATTGAGAAACCGGACTTCCGGCAGTTCGTGAAAATAGTCTCTTAAAGGTTTCGTTAATGTCCATCAACGTTTCGACCTGCATTGTGTAGGAATGAGTTTACCATTCGATCTTGCGAAGGGATGTTGAATCACCCTGTACCCAGTCGTTTATGGAAGGAGATGCAGTAGGGGACTGACAGTGGATGAGAAGGAGGCAATGTAGCCAGCTTAGTAGCGGCCATCCTCTGAGAACGAAGTTTTCCAACATGTCATGGGTGAACAGAATAAGGTCATCCTGGCCAAAGGTTTAAGAAGTACCACGTTGAAAGTCTCTGAAGGTTGTGGAGACTGCATAAAATTGTGTATAAACCACTCAAATTAATAATAACGTTTCCTTTTCATCGCTTTTGCACATTTTTTGCATTCTTCCTAATGCTTGTAAAACGGAATACTGTTTATCTGTATACACTTTTGGTCGTGGAGGTTATCGCTAACTTCGCTGCTGCTTTTAAACGTGAAAATATAGTGTACTCCCATCCATTCCGACTTCTGCCTCCGTTGACTATTGTCTGTCGTGAATACTCATTGATTGTCTTTAGATTTTACAAAACCTCTCATCCTACTTCCAGATAAAACAACAATCAAGCCAATCAAAGTCGACTGTGGAGAGCTAACAAACATTGCTTTCTGAATTCTGGAGTATACTAAATTGTGGCGGACAGTAGCGAGGAGATAACACTCAAGTGACCAAATATTATGCATAACATTGTCATTACTATTTTGTGTTATAACGCATAACGTTTCATATTTCTGTATCGGTGAATCAGTTTTTTAAACTACACGTAGTTTATCATTTTGATTTACTTGACATTTCTTTGGGTCCACCACATATTTATCGGTGAGCCCGATTAAGCGGACTTTACCCCATACTTATATTCAGCTTTTAGTTTTGCATATATCTCCTAAATTTTGTTAATTTTTCGGACAGTAATATGAGTTCTCCATGGATTACCCCACCCAGCTTACAAATGGGCAGGATGATTGCGATTTGCAGACAAGCTCATTACACGCCATATCTGACATACGACTTCCACCGAATGGTTGTAACAACCCTCGCATATGGTTTGCTCAGACTAAGGCTCTTTTTATGGCTCGCAGCATTCGCTCCAAAGCATCTAAATACGCTCATGTTTTCGGAGCCTTACCCATGAAGTCACCACTGAGGTCGGAGACTTAATTGATAACTTCCCTGAAGAAGCGCCTCACTACAAACTGAAGTCTGATGAGAAGCGGTTGCAGCACCTACTAAGTGCCTGTCAATAGGTTTACAGGAAGCCCTCACAACTGCTCGGATACATGAAACAGCTTGCGGGTTCATATCAATTTGATGAAGCTGTTCTAAGGTAGCTATGGCTTCAAAGGCTTCCATTCAACGTTCGGCAAATACTCAGCATCTCTGCAACAGATACCGAACTGGACGGTTCGGCTAATATGGCTGATAAAATAGTGGAGGTCTACCCAGATTAACTCTCTGCTAACCATCCAATGAAAACCACAGCAAATAGCCTCCAGTGTGACATTCCGTTAACCCCCACCCACTCCTCCAGCATTGAGCTACA